CAGATTGATCTACTGTTATTCTTCTCCCAATCTCTTGGTCTCATTGTTTCAAATTTTGATTTTAATGTTTTGGTTATTGTTAATTAATTTATCATATTGACGTCACTTGTCGGTGTCATATTCTGTGTCACCACCTCAATTATTAGTTTCATGTCAGTTCCGGTTGACTTTGATATGTGTCACTCATTCTTTGACTATTTATTTCCTTGTGATTTATGATGTTTCTGGTCCCTTGAATTCTATATCAGCTTCCATTTGCTTTTCGCATTTCTTGATGAATCTCACGTGAGAGAATTTTTGAATAATAATTTTTTGATGTACTTCGCCAATAGCCCAATTTTAATTTGGTTTTACTGGACATTCTCCAGATTAAAAACCACTTGAATATGCTGGACTGTCAACTGAATTTTTTGGACTTAGCTTTTCAATTTTAATTTTTCTCAATATGTTATACGGTTAGTATATGATTGTATGACTCTTTTTACCCCATAACATTGTCCATCATTATATTTTAGGTACTCATATATTACATCAATTTTGTGTCTGATGATGGCCTGTGGCCGAAACTAGTAACACGTCGCTTATTAAATGATTTTGTGGTCGACAGACTTTGGGATTTTTAATTGTTTTTTTCTTTATATTCTTTCGTTTACGTTACGTGTTTTTGGACAAAAAAAATCCATAGCAAGACATTTTTTCTTCATGAAAATGACAGATTTCTGTTTTTTAGCCAATATTGGGATGAAATAGGAGTGAAATGGATGCGACAAAATCAGTAGACATGATGAATCTCTTTTTTGTCTGCGTTACATGTTTTTTGATAAAAAAATCAATAGCAACACATTTTTTCTTCATGAAAATGACAGATATCTGATTTTTTGGCATTATGGGGGTGAAATAGAGGAGAAATGAATGCAACAAAAGCAGTGGAATGAAGTTGAGAAATTGCATTCTCTTTTAGATAAAAATATATTTGTAGGTATATATCATTCGGAATATTCAACAGGAAACATTAACTTTCCAGGATATTTGCCATGTAAAAATAGAAATATTCTGAAATTGAGAAATGACATTCTCTTTCAAATCAGATATACAGTATGGTGCAAATACATTCATTTCTGGCCAAATTGTCGATTTCTGAGAAATTTCCTGAAGAAGGTCGATTTTTATTTTCAGTTTTCCACATTTATGAGTGAAAACTGAAAATACAGGGTGATCCACAATTGAGTTCTGACGTCCACGACAATTTTTTCAAATAAAACGCCCTATATATTATTCAACTATGGGAATCTCAATAGACAGGTGAATTCCCGAATAATTTCATCACAGATTTCGTATAAAGTACGATCCCATTTCACAAGAGCACTGAATTTGACGGACGCACTGTATACTAACCCTATGTGTGATATAATGTTGAATCCAGCTTCGAAAAATTGAATGAGATATAAGGTTTTAAAACATTACGTTTTTACTCCAATAAAATCCATATTTTCGAATTTCTTACTTTATTTCTTGCTATTAAATAAACATTATAATAATGAAAACGCCAATAACGCCATAGCTCTCATTCTCTACTCTTCAAACTTGACAGAATGGACATGACAAATGACAAGACATTGTAGCAAACAAAGTGACATGTAACAAAATATCAAGAACATAACTAAAGGCATACTTGCTTACTAAAGAAAGTCTTACAGTTCGGTCAACCTGACTATAGATTGTCCTTGATCCATGTTCAAAATACATTATTGAATTGATGAGATCAACATACAGGGTGGCCCTTTACAAAGGGTCTGTGGGTAGCCAGAACCGGATTATGAATAAAACACTGGAACACGTCAACTACATTTTCGACGGGGGAATCGTTCTGAAATATCTTCAGCGTTGCGGCGTTGCCGCTTCTATCGAAAAGTAGCATCAACTTTGTTATTTCTGATGGAACACCCTGTAGTTCATTGCATTTTCAGATTCTCTCTGAAGAGCTGATCTTATCAATGCATCACACTTGGGGTCTAACGGGAATGATTACAGAGATATAGGGTGTTCAAAACCGAGATTTTTCAACTTTAGGATGTTTTTGTGTCAAAACTATTCATTATTGGTCAAAACTGCTTTCATGTCCCTATCTCAACTTTGAATTTACTATCTACTGACATGTGATTGGAACAGATACATGTTGATCAGAATTCTGAATATTGATCCACCCTGTATTTGTTCCAATTAAATTTCAGTAGGTAGTGAATCAAAAGTTAAAATATTGACATGTGAGCCGGTTAAACCGATGATGAATAGATTCGACAAAAAATATTTCGATTTTGAACACCCTATATCCCTGTAATCATTTCCGCTAGACCCCAAGTGTGACGCATTGATAAAATCAGCTCTCCAGGGAGAATATAAAAATGCAATGAAATACAGGGTGTTCCATTTGAAATAACGAAGTTGTTGCTACCTTTCTAGAGGAGCGGCAACGCCGCAGCGTTGAAAATATTTTAGAACGATGTCCCCCTCGAAAATGTAGTTGACGTGTTCCACTATTTTTTCATAATACGGTTCTGGCGACCTACAGAGCCTGTGTTTTGTTTTCAAAGGGCAACTGTGTATATAGATACTGTGGAGTCAATTCTTTCCGGACAAAATATTGTGAGATATACAGATAATTAAGGACCCTTAGAGCAATACATTGATGGAAAATAGTTTCATCCACGGACATATTTTGGAGGTTTCAGTAATTTCATGGCCAGCCATGAGTATAAATTAGTATGACGCGCACCTGTAATATTTGGCGAAGTTGTGGCTGGAACTCATGGCTGGTTCCACACTGATTTGATAATTTTAGTTTTTTGAGGTCTGCACCTCATGATAGCTGATTAATGAAAAAGTATCGATTTGTCACTAAAACACAATAATACTATCTTGAAGAACTCATCGAGCACTATTCAGAACTACCACCAGAACTGTTCAGTTCTTTGGAATTAATTTTTTATCGAAAATGTTGGTTTCACTAAAACACAATGAGACTATTTTGAAGAACTCATGGAGTGCTACTCAGAATTCCCATCAGACCTACTCAGTTCTTAGGAATTAATCTTGAAGAACTCATCGAGCACCATTCAGAACTCCCACCAGAACTTAACAATTCTTAGGAATTCATTTTTTATCGATAATGTTAATTTTTTAGGTCAGCACCTTATGACAGCTGATAAAAGAAAAAGTATGGATTTGTCACATAAACACAATAAGACTATTTTGAAGAAATTGGCCAGCGCTACTCAGAACTCTCATCAGAACTGTTCAGTTCTTTGGAATCAAGGTCAGCACCTTATGACAGCTGATTTTCTTCAGATTTAATATTTTGTAATGATTTTCATCCTTTTTTCTTGATGACTTCTTCTTCAATATGCAAGAGAAGGGACTAGTAGTTCACCAAGAAATGCAGCCTATAGAAACACATCTTGGTAATTTATTTTCTCAAATTATTCAATAATCTGTTTATTTCACCAGAACTATTGATGAAATAGGTTTAGAACTCAGGAATGCTTCATAATACAACAACAACAAAATATCAGAACTCATTTTCTTGAAAAAAGCAGCACTGTGTGAAGTTAGTGCTCATTATTAATTTTTACCATTTACATCTATGATTTGCTGGAACTATTCAAAATTTTAGTCAGGGACTCTAAAACTCCATCAAATCTACTCAGAACTAAAACAAAATTAGTTTAAAAAAACCTCCACCAACTTCACATGAGTTGAAAAAGGATATAAAAAAATTGAGGAAAGATCATAAAAGAAAGAAATTTGAAACATCACTTGTAAACCTATGTCATCCAATGTTCTCTGGTTTTTTCAAATCTCCTCTTTTTTATGTTTTATTCATGTTTAGAATTTCAGTCAACTTCAAAATAAGGGTTATGTTATGTTTATATCATTTATCATTTTCACTCTCACCAGTTGGCGCTACTAAAATTGCAGGATAGCCCTAGAGACTGTGGCCTATATTGCTACTTCAAAGTTGGGACCCAACTCCCCAGAAGTGGAAACTTGTGTGGGGTTAGGAAGAGCGGGACCTACAGCTCATAGTGGAGTTCAAACCACTTTTAGGGCATCGACGTGCTGCCAGGAAAACAACCATGAATCACACATTTTTAAAGAAAAATGCTCAGCCATAGCTGGTTTCGAACTGACAGTACCACCTTTGCATGGTGAACGGCTATCTAGTGAATTTCAGTGCATAGACAAACTGGGCCAATATTATTTTGAATGAATAGAAAACCTCAAGCTATTGAAAGTCTTGAGCTGTTTTGTATGTTTTTTTACTCTCAATGTGGAACTTTACCACCAATTCTTACATTGATGGAGAAAAGGATATCATAGGAAGATGAAGTACCTATATTTATCACGTTTCAGTGGCGCGTTTTGGTGGACAATAAATAATGTTAGCCCCCATTGTTTGTGTAGTATACAATTTTGATTGTAGATTGAGGCCACCTTGAAATGATTTGATGACTTTTTTTGACTCATGATGTTGGTGAAAAAAGGCGATTGGCAGTTCTTTCAAAGGTAAGAGGGAATCTTATTTTCAATTCAAATGCATTTGACCTTGAATATTGAAAGAAATTCGCCTGCGGCGCTTCTCCATTTCCCATAATACTAAATACTATTAAAATATGTACTTTTTTTTATTTTCGAAATCTGGCCACCCGATATACACAAGTGATTAAAGGATAATGGGATAATGCATAGAAATGATCAAACAAAGAGGGGGGCGTATAAGGAAGTGATTAGGAAGATCAAGGATTTTGAGTGAAATATTCCAGGGAATATTCAAGGGCGTAAAATGTTTCTAAATCAGCTGATCAGTTTCCGAAATGATAACTTTATTTTAATTCCGACGAATTCGACAGGAGCTCCACAATTTTATGAAACTAGTAAATCCAAAAGCAAATTCCTAGAATATGTATGACGCATTTTGACATGGTGGAAAACATTGAACCTACCTTGAGAAATCTGTTCTCAACTTCTCCAAAACACTCACGTATCACTAGTTAGAGATTCACTTTTCTTGAGCATACAGACACTACTGGAATATGGTTGTTTTATACTTGAGCTCCTCAGCACCAATTTTAGGCACAATTAAAATGAAAAAGAATTTATTAGATATTAGAAAAGACAACAGCAGACAAAATGTCACACACTACTCACAGGACAGGAGTCACAGGACAGGAGTCACAGGACACAGTGTCACAGTGACACAGAGTTGACGGAGAACCGTCACAGCCACAGCACATGGTGACTGCAGACAGGATGAATCCAAGGTCAACCAGTGGGACTCTGTAACTCAAAGCGAAAGCGAAAGCATGCGTAATCGACTGCTTTTGCCGTTTCGGTACTCTGTATCAATATTCGGATGAGGTCGGAGACGCCGAACGTGAGTTCGTAAGCGAAGCAGAAGCGAAGGATTTTGGTTGTCGCTTTCTGCGATTCTCAACATTTGAGGTTATAGGTATTGGTTTTTGTTGTTGTTCCTAGTTCGAACTTTGTGTTGATTTGAGAAAAATAATAGATTAATAGATGAGGAATGAGCCCAAACATGGATAACAAAGCGAGCAAAAACACAACTCAGTCAGTGGGACAGATTCCTCAGTCTTATGAACAAAATCCTAAAGATATTCCAGAGAGATGGAAGTTCCCTTTGGTAGGATTAAGGTAGGGGATGAAAGAACGTGAGACGTGAGATAAAAAATATGATGGACAGTGTGATGAAAACATACAGCTCATTTGGTAGTTGAAAAATGAACTGAAAACTGTCATTAGTGCTGTTGAATAGGGTCTGGAATAATTCATATTCATTCGAATTATCCTTCTCTTTTAGATTCCTGATACATCAAAACAGGCAGATATAAGTAGCTTCTCCAAAAAATGAAATGTGCCATTACTGATTGTTGTCTCACTGAATCCTTGTTAAGAAAAATATGTCTTTGGTGTGAGTCCATTGAAGAAGACAGTGATAGGTAATTAAAGAATCCTACTAATATAATATGCCCATATGATTATTAATACGTATATGGCCGATACCTACAACAGTGAAACATAACAGAAAGCCTGGAACGTTCAAATTTGAAAAATTTGCATAATAAGTATAAGTGCATTGGAAGGGAAAATAATTTGGATAGCAAAAACCTTGGAGACACCCAAGAAGAACTGTGTAATATTACTGTGTACCAATAAGGGAGAATCAAGAGTAAATTCCATGAAACAGGATTAACTGAACATTATTTACTATGTTGAACGAGAACAAGAACGGATTCTACTTTCACTACATTAATAATTCCATCCAAGATTCTAAAGTGAACTGTAAGAAAAAGTGCATCTGTATAAATGCACTGTCAACATATAGCTGCCTTGCAGAAGGCGATTCAAGGAATTATATGTGCTTATCATCTTGTTTGATATGCAACATAGAGAAGCAAGTTCTTATAGGTATTACATTATAGTATGTAAATAATAATATACTGAGTGTTAGATTATAGAATGATATGTCCATTATAAATATAAGCAGTTACATATCTTACAATATTATTGTTATTCTCAGATCATTTGCCTTTACTAGTTGCATTTAAATAGAAAGCTATACCTGAGATATACCTAGTGAGAATATAAATACCAATTTTTTATATGAACAAATTAGGTACATATTTTCCAATGAGCTGCTCTGTGCAGAATAAGTTCTTGTTTGGCTGATTACTATTTTTGTTGGCGTTGATGTCAATATCTGTTTGTAGTCAATACATTCATTCCAATTCATAGAAATAAATCATCTTCATATGTGTTTTTGATGTTTTATTGAATTTCTTTTCTCTCGGAAACTTCTCCAAGTGCTTTATTTCTGATTGAAACCAGAAACTAAAAATACAATAATTCGTAAATGCCGCTTTTTCAATCCAATGGGATGTTTCCTTTGAATAAATGGGATCCGCAACACTGTTGCCAAATTTGACTCCACCAACTTCGTTCTATTTCGTATGAAATCGTATGACGATAGCGAAAGCATAACGAACTACATATAGAGTACCGGAAAGCGAAGTCGTATACTTCGCTTCGTTTCGCTTTCGCTATGCGACACAAGTTACAGAGTCCCACTGCACCTTTGCCTCCTGTCGTGGACACTTGTCAGAATCACAGAAGTATTTATGACATTCAAGAAACGAGTATCATAAAAAGATGGCCTTCCACTCCAGCTTTCTGCTGCTAGCTTTTCGCGGTGAGCCAATCAGGTTTCTCCAAATTTAGCTGCCGCTTTCTCAAGGTCATGCTGCTCGAAATTGGTCCAAGTTTTACTTTTCAGCGGCAAATAATTTCACATCTTTGTCTAATTTGATGCGATGATGCTATTTTAAAAAATATCTGAGGGAATGTCTGTCAAAGGCATTTAAAATGTGACAGCAGTACCTATTATTGGTATAATATTTCAGGTATAATAATGTTGATAATTTAATGGAAAGAGTTTTGCTGTTAATGGTCGACTTTTGAAGTTGTGCTTTCACCAATTCTAAACTGTCGAGCCACTGATACCATACTGTCCCCACTAGTTATATATCTGAAGAAAGAAAACAAATAATCAAACAGGTCATCATGCTCGGAATGGACACATACATACCTCATTCTTCGAAAAGATCATCACCATCGAAACCCTGGTTCAACAAAAACTGTCCTAGAACTGTTGCCTTGAAACGAACAGCCGACCATCGCTGGCGCAAAAACCCTAACCTCGCGACTGGAACAGAATACGTTGATGCCAGAAATAACTGCAGCCAAACAATAGATGCTTCGAAAGAAACATACGATGTCAAGATAAGATCGAAACTCATAGATTGTCCCAATAGCTTCCGTTCGTTTTGGTCCCTTGCTAAAGTGGTCGGAAGAAATTTCACTAATAGTTTTCCACCACTGTCCAAATCCGACGGCACATTAGCAACAACATTGCAGGAGAAAGCAAATATTTTTGCAGAGATGTTCGCAGCAAACTCTACTTTAGATTACCAAGGAAAACTGCCGCCAGACATTCCACCCGTTGAGAGTTGAATGCCCGAAATCGTCTTCCGTCAACGCACTATCAGACGAATTTTGCTTGGTCTCAAAACGAATAAGGCTAACGGTCCTGATGGAATTCCACCCAGTATCCTCAAATAATGTGCACCAGAATTAACACCGATTCTCTGCAAGTTGTTTACCATCTCGTACAGGTCAGGTATTTTTCCATCATGCTGGAAGACAGCTAGAGTCCAACCAATCCCCAAAAAAGGGAACAAGAACCTGCCCAACAACTACAGGCCCATTGCCCTGTTATCAGTAATCTCCAAAGTGATGGAGAAAGCCATCAATATTGAGCTTATCAAATATCTAGAGAGCTCAGGAATCATCAATGATAGACAATACGGCTTTCGCCACCGAAGATCTACTGGAGTTCTACTTACGCCTACGTCACCCATTTATGGCAATCTTCAATAGAAAAACACGGGGAATCTCTAGCTGTCGCGTTGGACATATCGAAAGCATTCGACCGTGTTTGGCACGAAGGACTCCTCCACAAACTAACATCATACGGCTTACCACCTCAGCTATGTCATCTCTTATCGAGTTTTCTTTCAGGTAGATCGCTTCACGTGGTGGTGGACGGTGTATCGTCTGATATACCATTAGCATCAATTCCGGCGTTCCACAAGGATCAATTTTGGCACCAACATTATTCCTGCTTCATATCAATGATCTGTTGGGAGTAACAACTTGCCCCATCCACAGCTTTGCAGATGATAGTACCCTCCATATACTGCGTTCTCTTCCAGAATTCCCATTTCTTCCCAGGAAACTAAGAACTCACGGCGCAGGCAGGTCAATGCTGTCAATGAAGATCTTGCTGAAATCACAGCCTGGGGAACAAACAACCTAGTTGAATTCAACGCCACCAAAACTCAAGCCTGCATTTTCTCTAGAAAGGCGGAACTCAGTATGCCCGATATTGTAATGTCTGGCTCCACCATCCCCACCAAGCCCACCATATCTATGCTCGGTCGTATTTCCATCAGCAACACTCTTTCATGGGATAATCATGTCAGATCCATCAAGGGAACCTATTCCCAACAACATATAATCTCCAAAAGTTCAAACAAAATTCCAATACCTACCTCCTGTCCCTATCCTCCCTAGGAACGCACGATGTTCTTTGAACATTATAGGGATACCCTTTCGTGCGCTCCAAGCGATAAAAAAAGGTAATAACCTGATCAGAAATTAATATTATTACCTTTTAATGTTAGAGACAATCTCAAAGTAGCTGATAGAGGTTCTCGGTAAGCTTCTACTTTAGATATTTGAGGACCAACTTATTTAAGGAAAATATCGAATGAATCAGGTGTCATTCTTAAATGGTTGAAAGTATTTATTTACATCAGTGAGTCGCATCTCTTGTAATACATTTTGATGGTCTCCATGCAGAAATCTTGCATGAACAGTATTGATAGGATAACCCAAAATCCTCCTCCTCGTTCGAAAAATAAACACAATTTCACAGAACTTCCACTATGCATAGAACAGTACGAATTTTCGACGTTCCGTGAAACTGCGCATGCTTCTGATGGTTTGGGACTGTTTATATTTTGAACTCGAACAAGCCTGGAATCTGTGTTGCAATATTCTGTTTACTGCTATTTCATGCAATGAATCCATAACGGAACACCATCCATCATAATTACACAAATAATTTTATATTATATTCTACTAACTACGAAAGCTCTGGAGTGCCAATGGGAAAAAATAAAAAGTCGAAATTTCGACTCAGTAAGTCGGAATTTCGTCTTACCAACTCGAAATTTCGTCTTACTAAGTCGAAATTCTGTATTAGTATGTCGAAATATATATATTATAATATAATAATAAGCTGCTTAATATATTTTCACATCTGACAAGCAGCACAGAAGCATGCTACTCATTTCAGTCGTTTCGTTACTGGAGTGAGACACTCATGAGATATTCACGTGACAGTAGTGACAATGATGACGTATACCCTCCCTGGGTCACTGTCAGTTGTCACTGAGTGTCACTCCACCCACAGTGTCAAGTGATTGTCAATATTGTCATATCTTGCATGGTTATGCCATTTCATAAATAAAATAACATTTGTTTATTTTTTTTATTATTATTATAGATTGAAGTCTTGTTGAAATTATTGTGGTGCGTCACGATCACTGTGGTTTGTGAAAACTGGCACAATCTGTAAACCTAGGTCAATATTATGAAAGTGTCATTGATCACTCAACTCTTGTTTTTATAGTCTGAAATTTGAGTGGAATCTTTGTTACACATCAGAAAACTAGAAATAAGTATGCCAGAATCCCACAGCGATTCACCTGAGCGTAAAAGACGTAGGAAGAGATCTAAATCTCTAGAAAACTCGAAGGGGACTGATTTTGTAGATGAGAAAAATCGAAAATCAAAACATGATAGCAAGAGAGAGCGGAAGTCTAGATCAAAATCCCCTGACAGGTCTCATAAAAGTAGGAAATCTAGATATGATGAGGATGAAGATAATCCAGATACCCATCCTAGGTATTATGGAGAAGATCGTCCCAACAGTGACAGCTATTGGAATAAATATCCTCGGAAAGACACTACAAAAGTTGGTCAGAGATATTATGATGGTGGAAAAGTTCTACCTAAGGAGAGAAAAAAAGAAGGAGGTGGTAGCTATTCCAGGATGGCTGAGAAAGAAAAAGAGGATAAATCTGTAGTAAAACCAAGGGAGAGGAAAACAGTAGATTTGCTAACTTCCAAAACTGGAGGTGCTTACATTCCACCAGCCAAACTGCGCATGATGCAAGAAAATATTACTGATAAATCATCTGCTGCATACCAAAGAATAGCTTGGGAGGCTCTCAAGAAATCAATTCATGGATATATCAACAAGATTAACACCTCTAATATTGGTATTATATCTAGGGAACTACTACATGAGAACATTGTTAGAGGTAGAGGTCTACTTTGCAAATCCATAATTCAGGCTCAAGCAGCTTCACCTACTTTTACAAATGTTTATGCAGCTCTAGTTGCTGTCATCAACTCAAAATTTCCTAATATAGGTGAACTTCTGTTGAAAAGATTAGTACTCCAGTTCAAAAGAGGTTTCAAGCAGAACAATAAGAGTATTTGTATATCAGCTACAACATTTGTTGCTCATTTAGTTAACCAGAGAGTTGCACATGAAATTTTATCATTAGAAATACTAACCCTGCTTGTTGAAAATCCAACTGATGATTCTGTTGAAGTAGCTATTTCTTTTTTGAAAGAATGTGGGCAGAAACTTTCTGAAGTTTCTAACAAAGGTAACTATTCAATAAAATGAAACATCTTCAATAGCTTCATACAATCTTTTGAACTTCAGGAATAACAGCAATATTTGAAATGTTGAGAAATATTCTACATGAGGGTCAGTTGGAAAAGAGGATACAGTATATGATTGAAGTTATGTTTCAAATAAGGAAGGATGGATTTAAAGATCATGCAGCTATAATAGAAGAGCTAGATATAGTTGAAGAAGAGGATCAGTTTACCCATTTGATTACTTTAGATGATGTAAAACAAGCTAATTCTGAGGATATTCTCAGTGAGTATCTGAACATTTTATATATATGTTGTAATTTGTGAAATTAGTAGTAGTGTTGAACAGCACTTTATCAAGACTCCTTCATCCATAGAACGGCTAGGCTCTGGAATTCATTGCCTGTGGAAGTATTCCCAACAACATATAATCTCTAAAAGTTAAAAAAAAATCCTATACCTACCTCCTGTCCCTATCCTCCCTAGGAACGCACGATGTTCTTTGAACATTATAGGGATTTCCTTTCGTGCGCTCCAAGCAATAAAAAAAAAGTGTTCTGAGAGAGAGAGAGAGAGAAAATCTTTATTAGGGATATACTGAAGTCTTTCAGTCCAGTTTACAAAATATAATATACAAAGTAGGAATAATAAAAGTAATAATAATAATAATAGTTCATTAATGATTAAAATAAAAAAAAAGTGTATTGCTTGCTATCCCATTTGCTGCAGTTGGATCAGTCCTTGAAACATATTTATTTCTGGGAATTTTTCTTTTTCTTATAAAGTTTTCCCTCAGCCCAATAACTTGTGGACTGATCACTGGGATATTGTAGAAGGACTTCGGCAAATTGACTTCTCATTAACGAAAATTAGGAATTGAGTTGTGGAGATTAAGAGGAATAGTTTCATCATTGATTACAATTTTAATCAAGGAAAAACTTCTCTTTTGAAATGCCAAGACTTTGTAGTCTAGGTATACAAATATCTATTTTTTCTTATGTAATATTATATTCCTTGATTGTTACAAACATCTCAGTTAGCATGATGCCTAATAATATAAATTGAAGCAGTAAGCTGTATATCAATCCATGGATATTTCCAGGAAAAATAATATCTGGAGTTGTATTTCCATGACTATTTCATGATTGAACCAGACAATAACTAATGATACAGAAATCAGTGCCATCAAAATTAAATACTAATTTTTGTAATTATTATAACTAACATTATCAACATCAAGAGTTTTATCAGGAAAAAATAAGGTTGGTTGGTCAGGTGTCTATCACTTCAGCATCTGTATTGATAGAGCAAGTCAGATAATTTTATACTGAAGAGGCTACTAAAGCCACTCAGGAATTTCAACATGAGACACATCTCATAATTTAAGGGTCATTTTAGGCTAATTTATTACCCCATTCCTGAATTTTTTGCTCTCCATCATAGAAACATCTGTGGCTTTGCTAGATCTGGCTGGACTCAGCAAAGCTGCACTATTTTTTGATGATTTGATAGACTTACAAATTGTAGGTCTTATTTTATGCTAATTCATCAACTTATTCCCATATTTCTTATCCATCTCCTTCATAAAGAAATCTGTGGTCTCGCTCCGTTTCGGTAACAGCATGTCCTCCTCTAACGTTACCCCTGCTGCTACCTCCACCTGTGGATGTAAGACGATCTCTTTCTCACCCACCTTGAGTGTTCGGCTTCTGAAGTCCAGTTGAATCCCTTGCGCACCCATGATGTCCATTCCCAGAATAACATCTTCTTCAATATCTGCCATGATAGCTCCATGGGTAAATTTGACAGTCCCGATCGATATTTCCACATTGATTTCCCCATAAACGGTGGCAGCTTCACCCGTAGCGGTTCTCAGACGCCATCTTGAGTTCACACGTTGTTTTCTTGAAGAGGTCAGGAGTCCAGGATTGTCTTCGATGCACCAGTATCCTCCAACAATGCGCATTTCTATCCGTCGATCTGTCCATCTACATAGACGCTGCTGTTATCACGCCGTAGGGATGCCACAAAGATGAGAGGGTTTTGAGTATGATGGGTCGAAGCTGCCCCTTCAAAGGCGACCCGCTCTAGTTTTCCTGTGGCTGTGTGGAAGATGGTCCATCCTCAGCAACCAGCTTGGCACGTTTACAAGTTCTCTGGAGGTGGCCCAACTCCCCACAATTCCAACAGCGAACGTTTGAACAGCTAAGCATTCCATTAGAGACTCGGGAGCTGATGGATATGCACAATGAACCAATCGTGCAACACCCACTTCGAATTCTTGCAGGCTCTCGTCGACTCTCTGTCGACGGCTCTTCATTTGTGATTGAAACACTTGCTGGAGAAGTTCGACAAGTCTGTCCGGAAGAGAAGGATCTCACATTTGACGAATTCATTGGGACATACAGTGGATCATCAAAAGCAGTGCAACACCCACTTCGAATTCTTGCAGGCTCTCGTCGACTCTCTGTCGACGGCTCTTCATTTGTGATTGAAACACTTGCTGGAGAAGTTCGACAAGTCTGTCCGGAAGAGAAGGATCTCACATTTGACGAATTCATTGGGACATACAGTGGATCATCAAAAGCAGTGCAACACCCACTTCGAATTCTTGCAGGCTCTCGTCGACTCTCTGTCGACGGCTCTTCATTTGTGATTGAAACACTTGCTGGAGAAGTTCGACAAGTCTGTCCGGAAGAGAAGGATCTCACATTTGACGAATTCATTGGGACATACAGTGGATCATCAAAAGCAAGGTTTGGCGTCACCAAGGAAGAGCCCCGCGACCTTTTTGCCACTTCTGTAGAATACGCACTAGCTCACTGCGTCGCCGAGGATCTTCAGATGTCTCAAGGAATAGCCAACAAGGTCATGAGAAAATTCGGGAAGATAGAGGAGCTTTATCAACAGGGTTCCTCCGTCGGTCGAGCACTAGAAATAGAAGATATCAGCCCTGAAGGAAAAAGGTCTCTGTTTTATCTTATAATGAAAGGAAGATCTTCTGAGAAACCCACTTACAAGGACCTCTGGGAGACACTAGTTGACTTACGTAGTCCTATACTTGAGAAGGACGTACAGAAGATAGCTGTTCCTAAGCTGACGTGTGGTCTGGATGGCTTGAATTGGAGAGTTGTGAGGAACATGCTGGAGGTTGTATTTAGATTTACCGGAGTTGAAATTCTGCTATTCTGCTGGAACTCCAAAGGAACTCCAAGAGAGAAGACAGTGCCATGCTATTTCTAGCATAGTGCACGCTGTAGAAATGAAACCAGTTGTCCCTATCTTCATAACAATCAGAGTGCATTCCAGGAGGAATGCGTTTTAAGGAGGGGGCAGTGTAATGATATTTCCCTTAAAGGGGCTCAAGAAATATCAACATGAAGGCAGGAGTACATTTATCATTCTCCAACATCCCAATGATTTCTACATGTACCAGCCTATTTCTGAACACTCAATATATGCCGCGGTGACAAATAACGTGACTGAAGATTCTGGAATGTTCTGGAAACAATCGATGGAACAATGGGCTTATATCACAAAAAAAAAATATTTCATAATTCGATAGAACTCACCCAAACTAGCTCACCACCGCAAACCGTTTCTTGCTGTGAGCTCCCTACGTTTCATAAAAAAATATTGAAATCCCCGATTTTTCGGACCTCTGAAAACGAGGCGATGATGTGACGTCAAAACCCTAATACTGAAACAAAATCATTCCAGACAGAGATGAATGATACATGATTTCTGACAGAGTGAATTAGCGCGAGATCACAGTTGAAAGAATTAATATATCAGTTGCCTCAGTCTCCGTCGGGCTTTTGGTATTTTCTTTTAACTATGGCGAGATGAGGTTTCTACGTCATAAGAGGGTCCGTTTTCAGAAGGTACTATTATTTATGTCCAAAAATAAAACATTCTAGTTAATTTTTCGATCGAATTATGTCGTCAATCATTTTTTATGTATAAAAGGATCATTATAAACATGGTTTGAGTTAAAAGTTTTACTAAGGTGTACACGCCCATTAGAGAGAGAGGTATTGTTCTAAGAAGCTTCTAGAACAAAAAAAAGGGTACGAAAGATCATTCGAGAACGTTCGAGAAGCAAAGCCTACCAAGGGATCCCATATATATGGACGGCCGGACAACTGCAGTCAGTGAGTCAAGCAGCGAGTGTCAGAGAGACATTCATAAACCGCGTGATATAAATCGTTTTACATAAATAGTAGTTATAAGTTCGATATAAGTTCGTGCCCCTATAGTTGAAATAAATCAGTTCAAAAATAAATAGTGTCGTGTTGGCTTCTGCACCCGAATAACGTAACAATACGTTGTAACAGCAGCTGAATTATTTATGATTTGTTGTTCTTTTTTATAGCATAGATAGCATAGAGATCAGCCTAACATTTAATTGAGATAAATGGTCACTTCACAAAACTTACAACAATGTTTATTCGCAGAAAATTAGTTTATATTTATCTTCACTTTGCCTTATATCAATTCCAGCTATTCTTGATTCAAATACTAACTCGTTTATTTCTGCTTCATTGAAAACTAGTTGATTTAAAATGAACCACTCGTCTGCTGATTTTGAAATTTCGATCTGAATCAAAGTTGAAATGCATTTGGTGAATAATTCACATATTGAGAAGAGGGTAGGGCAATCAAAAAACAATAAAAAAATATGAGGATATGAAAATATTGAAATTTTTCAGATGTATTCAAGTTTGACGACAATTATGAAGAAAATGAGGGAAAATATAAAACCCTCAGTAGAGAGATTCTTGGTAGTGACAGTGAATCAGGATCAGGCTCTGAGGGTGAAGATGAATCTGACGAGGAAGATGAAGAAGATGATGCCAAAGAAGAAGCAAAAATAATTGATAATACTGAAACTAATTTGATAGTTCTCAGAAGAACAATATATTTGACCATTCAGTCTAGTCTTGACTTTGAAGAATGTGCACATAAGCTATTAAGGATGGAGTTGAAACCGGGACAAGAAATTGAACTATGTCATATGTTTCTGGGTGAGTTATACATCAATAAATTTTGTATTTATAGTTATTCTGATGAATTGATAATATTCCAAAATATTTTAGATTGCTGTGCTGAACAACGTACATATGAAAAGTTTTATGGTTTACTAGCTCAGAGGTTCTGCCAAATCAACAAAACATATGTGGAACCATTTCAACAAATTTTCAAAGATACCTATGCTACTACCCATAGATTAGATGCAAACAGACTGAGAAATGTCAGTAAATTTTTTGCACATTTACTCTTTACCGATGCCATAAGTTGGGAAGTATTGGAAATTATGAAACTCAATGAAGAAGATACAAATAGTTCAAGTCGAATTTTTATCAAGATATTGTTTCAAGAACTTGCCGAATACATGGGACTTGGTAAACTGAATGCTAGACTTAAAGATGAGTAAGTTTTCCAAATGAAATCACCTCGAAAATTACATATTACTTGTACTCCAGTTATACAGGGTGTCCCGAAATTACATAAAAAGGATTTGACACCAGATTCTAGGAACAAAAATAGTAAAAAAGTTCATATAAACATGAGTCCAGAAATGCTCCCCTGGGGGTTGTTATAGCTATCTAAAGGACAGTCTGAAATGATTTGTAGAAGTGTCTAACTTTTTATGCCCAATTAGAAAATGTTAATCAGGGGCGTGGGAAATAAGTGGACCTAGTGCCACTTTCCCCCCTAACTTCTCTGTTTATGCAATTTTCGGCAGTTTGATCAAGAAATATCAAAATATCATAATTTTCACCCAAAAATGGCACTCTTGTTTAGTTTCAATAGCACTCGCCATTTTCCAGATAAATCGATTTTAATAGTCTGCTGCATAATAAAAATAGTATATTTTTCAATAGGGTGCCTATCATATCATTTTTCGGATTATTCTTTTTATTGCACCCCCAAATTTTGAATCAAATATCGAATGTAGATGTTAAAAGAAGGGGTATTTTCCATCAGCACATAATTTTTGGAAAAATTCGGTATAAAGGAGAAAGCACTATTTTTATAACACAGCAGACTTAAAAACCATATATCTTCAAAATGGTGAATGCTATCTAAACTAAACAGGTACCATTTTTGAGTAAAAATGTTCAAATTTTCTTATTTCCTAGTCAAACTGCGGAAAATTGCATAAACAAGAACCAAAGTATGCATGCATTTTTACTTGTCAAAAAAGAAAAATGTTATTAGCTGTTTTTCATGATTTGACAGCACTAGATTCAAAAGCCATCAATTAGAATAAATCCGAAATTTCACAGAGAAATATTTTGTAACAGAAATGTTCAATTGTCTCATTTTTAAAAAATCATTTTTTTTATATAAGGAGATTATGTTACACTTCAATTACAATTTTGTTTTTAACAAATAACAAATGAATTACATCCTAGTTATGAAGATATCAAACAAAATCATAGAGCAAAAAAGTTAGACATGGAAAGGAATTAAGAATTGAGAAAACCTAATCACAAATCTGTGATTGGAGGTCCATAAAAATAACAAGTTTCCATCGTTCAAGTTTGAACCCCTTGATTGGGTATCAAAGTATTGAGAAGGAATATTCTCAGACATATTATGAACATGAAAAAATATATATTGTATGTATATATACAAATGCATTGAGAATTCACATTCTCAATGTGATGAAAATAATAATACTTTCTCGGTTTATTCAGAAAATTTAACAGAAAACAACTACTTTCCTGGCTATATGCCACGGCGAACATTGAATTATATCTATTGAACACACATGATAAGAATTTGAAATCAAAATATTCTGAAGTTAAGAATTTGCTTTTTCCATCAGATAAAAATATATATTATGCACCTAATATCATTCTAAATATTCAACAGAAAACAACTGCTTTCCTGATCAAGAATGCAAATTCTCAACTTCAGGAGGTTTGGTACAAAATGCACATGTGGCGAATCATATTACAGTAAAAATTGTAATAAAAACATAAAAATATGAATAAATTGCAGAACATTGCAAACATAATAATACACAGACAACATACCATTTATAAATATTGAATCACACTGAATCTTCTAAAAATGCTTGCCGACCATAATATTACTTCTTGATTAACAAACATTTAGTTTAATCATAAAATACTTTGTCACATCCAGAATTCTCGATCTCTGTTGGCGATTTATTGTAAAGAAATATTGCATTATATAGAGGAGGGTTTTTGAATTTAATTGTCTTATGTTTTGGTATCCTCAAGTCCCCACCATGTCGAGTGTGATAGGTATGTGAAGATGCATTAGTTGCGAAAGATTCCAAGTTGTTCCTAACGAATTTCACACATTTTAGAATAATACAGGGTATTTCCTAATTGAATGTCAATATTTGAGGAGGCGATTCTTGGTCCCATTTCAAGAAGAAGATTTCATATGAACGTATGACCTAAACGTCTTAGCTCTTGAGATACAGGGCGGTAAAGTTCTCAAAAATAAATAATTTTTTTGGAAAATCTGAAATACCACTTCAGATATTCAAATGAAATTTGGCATACATGTACTATGTATCAAGAGGCATCAGTTAGTGTACCACATTTTTTGTTGTTGCCACCAGTGCCGTTCGTATAGAATTTCACATACTTATTTTGACAGGCATTGGCATGGTTCGCCACTGATGAATCTCGAAATTCGTGAAATTCTCAATCATTTCTAAGCAAATTTGATCTCTACATTTTTTTCAATCTGATGCACGGTTTTCGCTTAAAGAACTCAAAAACCTTTTCACTGTATGATCATAACAATATCGTTAATATGACAATATCACAGTGTAGAGAAATAGATTTTATTTTTTAGTCTCCTGACTCTAATCGGTGGTAACGGGTATGCCCACTAAACATTCCACCCCGCTTGTAGGCTCGTCTGACCAATGTTTCCGACGACACTTAGGCCTGGTGGCCCATTGTATCTTACCTAATAGTTTATTCACTAAGAAGAAAATGGTAGATAACTAGAGAAAAACAACTACTTTCCTGGTTATATGTCACGCAAAACATTGTATTACATCCTCCCGAAATCTATACAATAATTCGTATAGACGAATAAAATCGCAAGTGTTTCCTTCCTAAACGCCGAGCTGCGCTTAAGTGGTTCAGGAACGCGTGACTACCTGCAGACCGGTTTCGAGCTGTTGGCTCTCATCAGTACAGGGCTGTCCCACCTAGCTTCTTGACCGCTATCTGGTGCGAACCTGACTGAACAGAAACGCATCTCAGCATTTATACCCCACGAGGCGTTCAACGTTCGCGAAATGAACGCGAACGCGGAACGCCACCAGGCAAGGAAGGAAGCACTCCAAAACAATCTCCCATTTCAGGTGAAATGGGAGTGGCTGGTTGCCCGACTGGCTTATTTTCAACTAGGAAAAAGTCAAATACTCAAAGTGGAATGCAATGGTCACAAAGAGAGAAACTCAAAATCATTACCACAATAGTTCAAAATATGAACGAAAATGGTAGATAACGAGAGAAAAAAAACTACTTTCCTGGCTATATGCCATGCAGAATATTGGATTACATCCTCCCGAAATCTATGCAATAATTCGTATAGACGAATAAAATCGCAAGTGTTTCCTTCCTAAACGCCGAGCTGCGCTTAAATGGTTCAGGAACGCGTGACTGCCTGCAGACCGGTTTCGAGCTATTGGCTCTCATCAGTACAGGGCGGTCCCAGATAGCTTCTTGACCGCTATCCGATGCGAACCTGACCCAACAGAAACGTATCTCAGCATGTATACCCCACGACCACCAGATAGCGGTCAAGAAGCTATCTGGGACAGCCCTGTACTGATGAGAGCCAATAGCTCGAAACTGGTCTCCAGATAGTCACGAGTTCCTGAATCACTTGAGCGCAGCTGGGCGTTTAGGAAGGAAACACTTGCGATTTTATTCGTCTATACGAATTATTGCATAGATTTCGGGAGGATGTAATACAACGTTCTGCGTGGCATATAGCCAGGAAAGTAGTTGTTTTTCTCTCGTTATCTACCATTTTCGTTCATTTTTTTGAACTATTGTGGTAATGACGACTTTATGTTTCTTTCTTTGTGACCATTGCATTCCACTTGGAGTATTTGGCTTTTTCCTAGTTAATAGTTTATTATTGTGCTTATTTAATTATCTCCGTACCTTGAACAAGTCTGTACAGATCCTTCAATGGATGTGAGTTAAATACTTATGGTTCGCCAACTGGTTGCCCAAAAATCTTCTGTCTTTTGCGGTCCAATGCCTCGCATCTACACAGTATATGGGATACTGTTTCTGGTTCCTTTCCGCATAGTCTGTTGCTTTGGTCGCCATTATACAGTCCCATTCTGGTGAGGTGCTCCTTTACTGGCGCATGGCCAGTCATGAGTCCCGTAACAGTTTTTATCTGTACTCTGGTCGAGTTGAGCAGGTCTACAGTTCGTTTATGACTTGGTTCCTTAATGTATTGTTTCCCATGTCTGTTTCTTGAGATTTTCCCAGTAGCTCTTATGTTTTGCCTGAATCCAGTCTTTAACTGACACTCGTGCTGTACGTTTTGGTACTCCAAGAGTCTGTCCTGGGTCTGGCTCGTTGTCCGACCCTCTTCTTGCAAGTTCGTCAGCCTTCTATTTGCCAGCGATCCCCTGATGTCCTGCCACCCAGATTAGCTTGACGTAGTTCTGGTCTGCCAAAGTTCTCAGTTTCCTCTTGCAATCCCATACTAGTCGAGATGTTACTTCCTGGCTTTCTATTGCCTTCAGTGCCGCTTGACTGTCTGACATCTGAATTGTGAGATAAATGCCAAGAATAATTTACCTGTGATAAGTTCATTTTTCCAACAATCTATTTGGCATTTCGCAATTATTTATATGTTTAAATGAGATTTTTTCTTCAAATTGTATTTCCTTTGACCTGTTGAAGTCCTGTTACAAAAAACTAACTCACCTGTATGAATAATATAAATATCTACAATGAAATATCCATCAACAATCAAAAATAAAAAAATATATATTCTAGATAGAGCTTATGTTCCATATCACAGATCAATTGGAGATTTAAAAATATAACAGATGAAGGTTATGTTTATCACAGATGGTTCTTCTTGTAAATGTTATCACAGGCAGCAAATCAAAATATTTGAACAAATGAAAGTGTATGATTTCAGTAATGATAAAATATTTACAATACTTCTTTCTTACGCATGATATTGACCAATTAAAATTCGTACAGGAAGCTTCACGAATTTAGAACCGATTTATAGGTTATGTTATAAATTTATAGCACTAACCCACTAACCGCATCTCATCGTAGAGAATCTATTTTTTCCTTTATTTTTTTATATCTTGGAAGTAGTTGGAATCCTTTATGGACACCATCAAGTACCAATCCATTGGTGGTAGTGTGAACTGTGGAGTTTCGGGTGCGTAGCGCAATGCCCAATTTCCACGATGCCCAATTTCCACCTGCCCACCTTCACGTCGACGATTACGAAGATTGCCTAAGAGCGCAACGTTGCCAGGTTATGAGAGGAATTCAGAAAACACAAGATTCTCACCATGCCCACTTTTCATAGATTCCCACAATGCCCAATTCCCACCATGCCCACTTTATATAGATTCCCACGATGCCCAATTCCCACCATACCCACCTTCATCATGGTGGGAATCCAAAGAAGGTGGGCATGGTGTGAGTTGGGCATCGTAGGAATTGGACATCGTGGAAATATATGAAAAGTGGGCATGGTGGGAATCCAAGGAAGGTGGGCATGGTGGGAATTGGGCATCGTAGGAATTGGGCATCGTGGGGATATATGAAAAGTGGGCATGTTGGGAATCCAAGGAAGGTGAGCATGGTGGGAATTGGGCATCGTAGGAATTGGACATCGTGGGAATCTATGATAAGTGGGCATGGTGGGAATCTTGTGTTTTCTGAATTTTTCTCTTGACCTGGCAACTTTGCACTCTTCGGCAATCTTCGTAGTCGTAGACATGAAGTTGGGCATCGTAGGAATTGGGCATCGTGGGAATTGGGCATCGCAGGATGCTCCTCCTTTAACTAAGTGTACCCACTGAGCCCTGTTTTCATCCACGAAGACAGCAACAAATAATATTTTTATGGGTTCCTGAAATGTAGCCAGCCAATTTTACCTAACCTATTTCAGGGTAAAACATAATATATTACACATATAAGAAATTATACTGAGCGTGATTTGGCATGAGCAAGTTTAGGACTGTCAAAATCTCGCTCAAAAATCCAAATACGTGCCGATGAAAAAATCTTATGATCATGAAAATTCTGAAGGGAAAATGAAAAAAAAAGGCAAAAGGAATTTTCTGAATAATGGCAAATTTTAAACTCTATCTTTTTCATTATACCACATTCTAGAGAGGAAGTTGGAATGTAAAAAAAACTTCATTAGTAGCATTCGTTTTCTTATGAAGTAATTCAAAGTTGAATACTTCAAGTGAAGCGGATTATATTATAAACATGCGATTAGGCTAATATAAGTGGTCTGTTGCATTGCAATTTGCAATCTTTTTTTTTTTTTTTCAGGAGCCTACATGAATTTTTCTCAGGGTTGTTTCCACGAGACAACCCCAAAAACACCAGATTTTCAATAAATTTTTTCACATCAATTGGTCTGGGTGGTTTAACAGATGAACTACGGGAACACTTGAAAAATATTCCTAAAAACATGGAACTAAATTTGGCAATTGGCAAACAGAGCAGTAGCAGCAGCGACGAAAGTAGCAGCAGTGACAGCGACAGCTCAAGTAATAACAATAAATTATATTATTCCAATTGTTTACATAATATTAATTAGAAGTATTCATATTGGTATTGAATAAACAGAGAAAACAACTTGTTGTAAGATGGAACAACATAAAAATTATGATTATTAAATTAGTTGATCAGGAACCATCCAATTGTTTATTGTTTTGTTTATTCAAAAACTAGCTTCCAGTCAGAAATAAAATTCTGGTATGAGGAAGTTGATTACAAACAACAATAAAAAAATAATATAAGGTGACAACAACAACAACCACAAAAAAAAAATCTAAAAATGCTAAATCGATCAAGTCATAAAAATAGCCACAGGGACTAATCAGTAGATGGCAAAGTATAAATTTTATCTATTTCGTAATGAAATCATGGGTTTTTTTAATTCAACTTTAAATTTTGAAATATGTCTGCAATTTTTCATATTATGTGGTAATTTATTAAATTCAGCTAGAGCAGCGTGAGTAAATTTTTTTTGGCCAATTATAGAAGTAGCAGAATCAAGATGAAATAAGTTTGATTGTCTCGTGTGATGACCATGAATTTCTGAGTTTCTTATCAAAATAAAATTGGATTTCAGATTATTGTTTATTATATTATATGAAACTTTAAGAGAATCTATTTTATATATTTCATCCAATGAAAATTTTTCTGTTATGGCATACATATCATTTGTTGGGATATCAAATGAGAGGCGATACAATACTTTCAGTGCTTTCTTATAAAGTGTAGATATTTTACTGAAATAATTTTTTGAGCAAGATCCCCAAACGTTTATCATATAGTTAACACATTCAATGCTGATGACCCGGATCCGTGTCACCTCTCACTTGTAGCCACGTGCGCATGACAAGGATCCGTGTCGCCCGTATTTGTTAACACATTGGCTGCGGATTATTTTAAGCTTACTGAACCTGGGTGCTAATTTTTTTTTAATGTTTTTCTTTTATTATCTTGTTGTAAATATAAATTCACTATTTTTCACGAACACTTGGTATATGTTGGTGAAAATAGTGAATTTATATTTACAACAAGATAATGAAAGAAAAACATTAAAAAAAAAATTAGCACCCAGGTTCAGTAAGCTTAAAAGAATCCGCAGCCAATGTGTTAATACGACTGAGTATATGAGAATGAAGTACTATGTTTATGACTTTTTTGTCAAGTTTAGGACATCTTCGCAAAGCTCCAATGATCGGAGATATTTTTTGTATCAGAACCTCTATATGCTTGTCCCATTTCAATTTTTCATCAATCCAATGATATTCAATTATATTATATCCTTAATTTTATATCAATTTTTATATTTTGTTACATAACTTTCGAACAGCGGTGGTAGCAAGTCCAAGTATGCTCCGACTATACTCAATGGAGTCGGGTGCAATGAACTGTATGTAAACAACTGGAAGGGACCCACTGTGAACAACCAGTGAGGCAAAAATATTTTTCAGGCAACCCGCAGTGTTTACGGATACCTATCTTTCTCTATCTTGTGTTGGCTAATGGGAAGCGCTCGCATAATTTGAAATATTTTCTCGTTTTTTGCTTCTATTTGAGAGTAAACGTGATTAAATAAAAATATTCATTTAGGAAAAAGGATAATGTTGTAATCAATTATCATTAAAAAATTATTACCGATTTTTTTATTGACTTTAAATGAAATTCCAATATTACTCTTACAGGATCAGGAAGTCAAATGAATACATTATTGAAATTATATATTTTTATTCAAATGTCACAATATATTGTACAGGGTGAGCGAAGCACAATGTCTCAGAACTCAGAAGGAAAAGAAAAACGATAGGAAAAATTTGAAAAGAGGTTCTTGAATGGTATTGATGAGTGCATTTTGAGCAAAATTTCCATAGGTTCCTATTCCTCCATTAGGTCACTCATTGTCATTACTATACCCACTGTTGGAAATTGATTGAACTACTTATTCTTTCATGTTTGAAATTTTTAGGTCTCTCCTTTTTCCTTTTTTTCTCAGTGTGTTCACTTTTCTCCTCAATACATTATCCTTCTCTGATGAAACAGTTTGAGTTTCTTTATTGATCAACTTCGAAACTTGGGAGCTGGAAGTGGTAGGCAAGTCGAAGTCAATAACATGGGAAACTTCTTCCTTTGGACCCAAGTTATGAACGTTCACAGATGCATCCTGAAAACAAATTAATAGCTATTTTTTTTATTTTAAATAGGTGCAAACATACTTTTTTTTCATTATCAATCAACTAGGTACCTATGAGTTTTCTTATTTTCCTGGGGGAATCAGCATTTTTTGGTAACAAATGCTGAGGAAATGAAAATATACTGGGTACAACATCTGCTTTCAAAAACCTAGCAGTACCTGGTATGCCTGAATAATCTGTTGGCAGGAAATGCTCCCCACAAAGCTTGCTGCTATTAGTTGGAGTCCAATTCTCTCTACGAACTGCCTTTATCCATAATTCGAGAATGTCTGGTCTTTTGAATGGAAAACTGCAACAAATTATATTACTCAATATCAATATGGAAGTATTTAACTTTGGCAAATAATATAGGTATAGTTTTTGAACCTATTCTGAGACTGGACATTGTAAACCTAACTGATGATCATTTCATGAACTATATTTCTCAAAAATCTGAGAACAATATTCAACTTACCTATGGAATGCTAATTCCCTTTTGTTTTGTTCATTCTTGCATCCAAAGGCGACACAATAAATCACCATTGTTTATCAATACTAATCACAAACCTTCTCAACAATCAGTTCAGTCACAGTCAGTGTTCACAACAACAAATTCAGTCCTTTTGTTACAACAAAACACGCCGAATGAATAGATATTTCACCTCGTATTTCACATGAACTAAGACAATGAACTTATGTCTTCACTTTCTTGCCTGTGTAGATGACAGAAAAAATTCTTTACTACTTTAATTATTAGATAAAAGAAAATTTATACACCAATCCACCATTAAACAACACGAGTTGGAAGAGGACAGGTATCCGTAAATCATGCTATCTTTGTTGCAGCTGCCCCTGACACACTTTGTGCTATTCGAGAGAACGATCGTTTCCCTTCCAGTTGTATTGAGTTCATTGGTCGGGTGTGAGTACTGGAGTGTACGAATTCCAAAAGATGTGAAATGATAAGCCAGGGCGCCAAGTGATTTATGAACATACCGGTATAAGATAAAATCACTAAACCTCATATAATAGCCATGAACAGTTACAAAAGTGTCAACCCCAAATAATTCTTATTGCAAAAAAAAAGAATGCAGTAGTATACTAACAGATTTTAATGAATGAAATCCAAGCGTTTGATGTCAACTTAGAAATTATCATTATCAATCTATAGGGGCCCCGTATGAATATGCAAAATTCTCATACTCAACAAAACAAAAATCTTATATCTAATACTAAGTTATCTAGATGCTAATGAACAAAGTCAGTACGTTCAACAAATACTGAACGGTAGAGAGGTGAAATATTTCGAATCACAGCCGCAGTCTCCAAATTTCGCAGAATGACAGCGATCAGCGATACTCTTTATCGGTACTTTAGTAGGCGATCAAGTAAATAAATGTCCACTATGTGGTACTTATCACTTCGCTGATCCGTCCGGTAGAATTGAATACGGTAATGGTATCTGCGCCACTCGCCGACCTAATAATTAGGGGGAACGTCGGTGTTGTTGATAACTTTCTCCGGTATCATGAGACACTCATGTTCCTCTAGCTTCCCCACGAGATAAACAGAAACGATCGGATACAAAACGTCTGTAATAACAATAACACCATATCAATAATTCAATAGAATAGTCTAGGCCTGAGTATAAATGCTACTTACATCCTTGTAAGTAAAATAAACTCACCTCGAGTACGAAATCCCTATGACACTCCGAGACGTGTTATTGAACTGAACAAAACGATGAATTATCTAATCCACTACTCGAATGAAAATCACGCCGAATTTATATACACCTAATTTCAACCAAACAAATAAATTCGGCTTATATGGTAAACTATTGAAAAATCGGTTTTCAAACGAAATTCACGTTGCTTCACTGTCACCTTTTAAATTCCCAACAAACACCGTTCCTAGACCACACTGAAATAGTTATTTGTTTAACTAGGTAGCAAAGTAGTAGATTGACTGCCGAGGCTGAATTCATCCAGCTAAGGCAGTCAATCTACTTTGCTACCGAGTTGAACATATAATTTTTTCTCCGATTGTTCATAATGATATGCATCTCATTATTTTTCCTGTAGTGTTCAATTAAAATAAAATTTGATAGAAATCGCAGTTGTTGGAATGGTGGGTTGCTATGGAAATGTCCATAATAATAATTATAGTTTGACAATTCATGAAATTTCTGACAGTTGTGCGAAAAAATATCGGTATATTTAAATTATCATATAATGGACAGTGATAGCGACCTGGAAGTATTTACACCTCCAGAAATGAGGGAGGTGGGAAAAATAGAGAGTTGAATTTGTAGCCGGAGAAGTCTCGGATGAAATATGAAGGAAATTATAAACGATTTATGGATTATTAATTTTGCTGATTGATATGTGTCAGCAAAATTAATATTTGCTGCCAATCGGAGAAAAAAGATTTATGCTATCTCCTTTATCTACGAGTTTTTTGTTCCGTATTCATCTCTGTTTTGGGTTGAACATAGAAAGAACAAATCGAAGTAATTTCCACTACATCATTTAGATGGCAGTACTAGAATGATATTGAAATTGAAATATGATTAATTGAATCGCAGAAAATATATACCGGAAGATCCAAAAATGTCGGCGGTGCACCTGTGTATCAATTTTCCAATAGTTTCAGGCCCAGATAGTTCAGAGGATGAGAAGCATAGAAAGCAGAAGAAAATCACCAATAGAAAACCCAAGAGCAGTAGCAAGAAAAACAAGGATTCTTCTTCTGAAGAAGAAGTAGATGAAAGACGCCATAAAAAAATTCCAAGCAGCAGGTCACTCGATGAGGGTCACAAAAAATCTTCAAGGAAAAATGATGATGAAAGAGAAGGAGGAAGAAAAAAAGATTACCAGTGGGTTAAGAGTAGGTATGAGGACAATATTCATCAGTTGCAAAATGAGAAAAAGACGTTTGAAAAGTATTCATCAAGAAGGCGGTCACATTCAAGAGAAAGAGTTAGAATCAAGGAAGAGAAGGATAAGAGGTATAGAAATAGGGAAGATAAAGGGAGGCAGAGGAGCTGAATAAATATTTATTCATTTTTTAAGTGTATATAACGGTATTATATTTTCTCAGTAAATGAATTGTTTTTCAAGGTCTCTTGCAATCTCTTTCATCTACTCGTATTCTCATTGGAGCCGAATATTTGTTCAAGACATTTTTGAAAGTTTCAACACATACTAGACCAGTTTGATCGAGTTCCAAGCCCTCTTGCCAGAATTTCTCAAACGTACTGCCAGGAAACGTATACCCAATGTTTTCAAATAGTTTTTTTATAGTTCCTGGTTGTCTAGGCTGAAAATGAAAGAACAATAATTCCGAAGTAGATATTTACTTTACTAAACATGTTGAGAAAGTGATAACCGGCAAATATGCATAATGTGTAATAAGAAATAATTGGAAGTACCTATCAATTATTGATTGTTGTTGTCACATTGACATGATCTGATGCACAACATTCAATATGAATTTTTAGATAGCTAAACGTTCATCAAAATTATCTTACACGTTCTTTTTTTGTTCTGATTATGTTACAGAAGAGTGAGTAAAGAAAATCAATTTTGTCAGTTTTTGAAAATTTTAGATTTTTGGTATAGATCTAAGGCAGGTGCTGAACTCCGTTCTACAGCGCTGCCTCAGAATCTACATTTTTCGAAAACGGACCATGATAACCTCAATAAAGTATATACAGTCTGTCCAAGATAAGGTTGAACAGCATGGGGATCTCGGAAACAGTAGGAGATACGAAGTCGTTTAAATGGGGAAAAAGTTGCGCATTCGGAGGCTCATATCAAGAGCCTTCGAAAATTTTCAAAATTATTTCTAGTTTTCGAGTTGTATGGAAAAAAGTGAATTTTTGGAATATCTATTTTATTTTTTTCTCCGTTATTATTAGAGATACAGAAGAACTGAAAATACTTTTTCGTAGCAACTTTTGATGACGTTCAACGTGGTGATATTGATTTTTTTATGCGACGTTTCGTATCCGTAGAACTATCATCAACTTTTGTTTTTTAAATACGGTCCTGATAATTTTTTCACAGATTCTGAAAGGTTTTTTCATTCTGAATTCAACCATCATGTATTATACAAGGTGATTCGAATGTGTTTCGACCTATTTCTATCCATCATCAATGTTTTTTCGAACTTCCGGAGGAAAAGTGCCATCAGTTCCACTTATTTCTGATCATTTATTGTCAAACATTGATGGATTAGTTATTCAATACCGAGAAGTGAATAAAAAATATTTCAGTACATCATTCAATGCAGCGCTTAAAATTGTTGATGAATTCTTATATGAAATACTTTAAAAACTTAACTTTGACATACCTACAGAAACATTAATAACAAATGTTCAAAATAATAACCATTATTTTCTGAACAAAGATATCCTCGTCTCACAGTTGCTTCTAAGACATTACTAAGCATTTCTGGGTTTTTTTATTGAATGCTTCGATGACACTGTCCCTTAGTTCTTCTTCATCATCAAAGTTATTCGCGTATACAAAGTTTTTGATGTATCCCCTAAGAAAAAATCCAGCTGTGTCAAATCAGGCGACCGCGCCGGCCAAGGGACTGTAGAATGACTACCAATCCATTTTTCTGGGTAAAAACGCACGGACTTCTCTGGAATTATGTATCGGATCTTGTTGAAACCAACAGTTCTGAACTTCCGCAATCGGTAAATCATCCAGAGCTTCTCCAAGATGATTCTGAAGTAAATTTTTATAACGTTCGGAAGTCTGTGTTTCATGGTAAATAAAAGGACCAATAATTCGTATACCAAATATTGCAACCCACATATTAAAGCCGAAACGGTGTTGGTGTCTCGCTGTAATGTATAAATGTTCATTTTCTCGTGAACAATAATGTGTATTTTTTCTATCGAAGCTACCATGATTAGTGACCATGCTTTCATCAGTCCAGATGATTGTTCGAGGGAAATCTGCAAAATTTTAACATTTCCTGGTATACCACTCACAGAATGTCCTGCGCCTTTCGTCTTCGCCTGGTTTTAGCGCTTGACATATTCTGAATTTGTATGGATGGAATTTTTGTTTCCGCAGAATGAAATGGGTTGTTGATTGAAACCAGTTGATGAGGTATTAGTGTGTTGACTAATTTTCCTTCAAAATAAGTGGAACTGATGGCATTTTTCCTTTGGAATTTCGAAAAAACATTGATGATGGCTAAAAATAGGTTGAAACACACATAAACTACCTTGTATAATACATGGTTGAATTCAGAATAAAAAAACCTTTCAGAATCTGTGAAAAAATTATCAGGACCGTATTTGAAAAACAAAAGTTGATGATGGTTCTACGAATACGAAACGTCGCATAAAAAAATCGGTATCACCACGTTGAACGTCATCAAAAGTTGCTATGAAAAAGTATTTTCAGTTTTTCTTTATCTCTAATAATGACGGAGAAAAAAGATAAAATAGATATTCCAAAAATTGACTTTTTTCGATATAACTCAAAAACTAAAAAAAAATTTGAAAATTTTCGAAGGCTCTTGATATGAGCCGTTTTCGAGATCCCCATGCTGTTCAACCTTATCTTGGACAGACTGTATATTTGAAATCAGAAGAAATAACTCTGCCGTTTAGGAAAATAACATGCAGAGTTTTCCATTTAAAAAATACCACAGTTTGTAATACTTTTGGGTTCACGATCCTTTTTTTGCATTTTTGCATTTTCTAGTAATAGATTCTGAATGCTCATGAAGATACTTCATTTTTGCAAATTTGAACGTTTCTGTAAGACCAATATTAACTGGGATAGCTATTGAGTAAAAATATAAATAATCACTCTGTACATGGTTGAAGGACGATTTAAAAACGATTTAGACAAGGTACCTATGTTAAAAGAGAAAAAATCAAACAACAGAATTTAGGTTCCCCAGTTTGAATAAACCTGAAGTTGGATATATCTATTTGCTTTCCTTATCTCTTGGAGCGCACGAAATGCAATCCCTATAATGGAAGGGTTAGAAAACACAAGACTATCTCGTTTTCTGTTTTCTAGCCCTCATCATTACACTCCACTTAGAGAGAAGTATGGACTTCTACATCAGATCAATCCCTATAATGTTCGAAGAACATAGTGTGTACAGGGTGATTCACCATAAATGTCCCCCCCCTCTTGCTCACTTATTTTTGAACCGATTTAAAAATTTGAAAAATCATCTAAAATGATTTTTCAGAATTTTTTTTCCGTTGCATCAGAAAATACAGGGTGGTCGGAACAAACGATCTACAGAGTACTACTTGATTTTTTCAAAGGGAACACCCAGTATTTCATTGTATTTCCAGATTCTCCCTGAAGAGCTGATTTCATCAATACATCACACTTGGGGTCTAGCGGAAATGATTACAGAGATATAGGGTTTTCAAAATCGAGATTTTTAAATTTTAGGATTTTTTTGTGTCAAAATTATTCATTATTGGTCAAAACGGCTTCAATGTCCCAATCTCAACCTTTGATTTACTATCTACTGACATTCAATTGGAACATATACAGTGTTTTTTTTTTAATTGACTCGGCCGTTACTCGATGGAAATCCATGACAAATGTAAAAACTTCACAAACGATAAGATTTCCACAAAATTTTTAAACACTACATGTTTCGCTAACACAGTAGCTTCGTCAGGTGATATACTGGTACAATGTACGAAGCTATCTTATCGTTTGTGAAGTTTTTACATATACAGTGTGGTTCAAGATTCAAAATTCTGATCACCCTGTATCTGTTCCAATTATTAAATGTCAGTTGATAGTAAATGAAAAGTTGAGATACGGACATGAAAGCCGTTTTGACCGATAATGAATAGTTTACGTCACAGAAAAATCCTAAAGTTGAAAAATCTCGATTTTGAACACCCTATTTATATGTAATCATTTTCGCTAGACCCCAAGTGTGATACATTGATGAAATCAGCTCTTCAGGGAGAATCTAAAAATACAATGAGAAATAGGGTGTTCCATTTAAAAAAAATCAAATAGTACCCTGTAGATCGTTTGTTCCGAGTACCTTGTATTTTCTGATGTAGCGGAAAAAACTCTATCGAACATAATTTTAGATGATATTTAAAATTTTGCAATCGGTTCAAAAATAACTGAGCTGGAGGGGGGGACATTTATGGCGAATCACCCTGTACCTTTAGGGAAAATGGAGAGAGAAGGTAGGTATTCACTTTTTTTGAACTTTTGGAGATTATAAGTTCTTGGGAATACTTCCTTTGACAAATAATTCCAAATTTCAAAATTGCATGCTTTTAAATTATACTAAACTTATATAGCTTGCGAATCTGCTGTGTCACTCTGTATATTGTTTCTCATCTACCTACTCACTGACATATAAACAACAAATGGAAGGACAATAGGTACATGAGGGTGCGTGTAGAACTTTTACAACCAACATGATAACATCAAAATTAGTTATGGCATCTGCGCAGTATGTATCAACGTCAGCACTGCATGTTTTTGACATATGTTCTAGAGTCTAAAGAAATGCGTACAAGTATATCGGAGAGAGAAATTAACGTCATCCTATTTGCATAAAACGGCCTATCGGGAATTGTTTACCAAATGTTGACAGTACAGTTGTCACAGGTTCTCAAAAACACAAAGCATTCGCTGAGTCAGTTCTACACAACTAGGCCTAGGATACTTGTACCTACGCTTTTTTATTGAATACCACTGAATGTCCATACTCGTGTATTTTAACAGAGCCGGCTTCTCTGTATTTAGTTATTCACCTAACAACTGTGGAAAGTAGTATTTTTCTGCAAGAGTTAGGTACCTACAATGTTTGTCCTATGAGTGTTTTTGTACATATCATTTATATAAAAAAAGTTTTTAAAACAGATTTTATAATAATGCTAGAAAAAGACGCATTACATAGATCATTCAGTGAGTCCTAAATATCCTCATTTCCAACAATAAAAAAATCGTGAGGAAAGTAACTTTTCAGCACTATAATGCTGTATAGTATATTGTATAACGAGCACGGAACGATAGTGCTTGAAATTTGACATTCCATGGCGATTAGATTTTTTTTAAATAATAACAATGGGGTTATTGTGATATCAGATACGACAAAAAAATTGATGACAAAGTACCTCATTGATGGATCGAACACAGTAAAACAAGAGCAATTTCGTGTTATAGCTGTAGAAAAATATTATTTTTTTGTAGTAAGAACAGGTGCTGAAAGGGATGGGCGCATATCATCGTCCTTTGGCGAGCTAATATGTGCTTTCCTCAATATCGAGTTCTTTTCACAGTCTTTTACATAAACAGAAAAATATTTATCATAAATCGTCAACGGCAAACATGACACTCCTGCTCCTGTATTCCATTTTCAAAAACTTTCCGTTTTTCAAAACATCAATCAAGATTGGTTCGGAAGATCTGGAACTTGAATTGATACTAAACATTTCTACAAAATGGTCTAAATTCTCTGAAGGGACTTCCTCATCAACAGTAACGAGATGATATTCATTTTCTTTACAAGCTGCTTGAATATGACCTCGTCACTGATTTTTATTTTGATAAAAAACAGTGGCGTGCCATTTTTAAATGTAATAAAATTATATTTTGGTCCATATCAACGGTTCAAAAAAAGGTAGATGATAAATTATTTTCATTGAATTATAGAGAAATTCATCTTCTTTTGAAATATATAAAAATAAATATACCATTAATTTTTTTTTTTTCGAAAAAAAAACTAAAAATTTTGCTAACATTTCAGTAAATGCCATCTAGCGGCGACAGCAAAAGTCAAAAATTCTAAACCAAATAAGCGTTTTGTAGGGTAAATTATGTTCTTTCGTATGAGCCTAAGTTTGCCAAAATCGGTCGAAATAAACGGGAGAAATCTTGGTTTGTTTAGAAAAACAATTGAACTTCCCCCACCGCTTTATTTTGATAGATAGAACAAAACGTTCTGGACAAAAAATGTAGGGAAATGGTTAGTAAATATGAAAATGATTTCATCGATATACTTTCATTCAAAATTCTATAAAAATCCCATTTTTCTACTTGGTGTTGGTTGTTACGCCCTCTAGCGGACGTTTGACAAACTCGAAAATAATTTCCAGCAATTTCTCTTGGCGACTTTCATCATGATTTTTTTTTCTCAAATCTATACGACCAATATACTACCACTGATTCATCATATAAACGATCAAGGATTGCCCTGATCTGAGCCCTATTACAAACTTGTCCTTGTCCTTGATGCCAATCGCTTAACATTAATTACCAGTCCACGATATTTCCATTCTGGCTGAGTTGATCAAATAACAATCTTTGACAGTAAATTCTCACTCTCATTTTGTTTTATTTTTGAAGTAAATCAACAATCTTAGCATATATTTTATCCTTGGGAGCCGAAGGATGACACAAATTTTTCAAAACTGTAAACTTCCTCATCGATGAGTTTCAATAATGCAGCCGCTTTCCTTTCATTTTGAATTAGATTGGACTGGAAATATTGGTCCTGCCTTTCGGAAAAAATGTCCCGGTCATCACCAGGTTAGAAACCACTAATCTGACAAACGGTATCACTTACTACCAAAGTTTCAGTCATAACGAAAATCCTGCTTTCATATTATGCCCGTGGGATATATAATAATTATAATGATTCAGCCTTACCAACGGAAATCTTTATTTTACAAATGTGAAAGCAGATAATATCCAAGTTATTATGACAATCACCCTTAGTAATCTTCCAGTTATCATGAATCAGAATATTTACATAAAGAATGATACCTACATGACACATGTACATTATAAATAGTGATACATATCAATACACTACAGAGGTGTACATAGTTCTGGTGACAATGCATTATGAAATCTTTGTTAGACAAAAAAACAAAATGGGGGCTCCAAAATGGCGGACGTTTTGTGCTTATGATCCGATTCTAATCAAAATTAGTATCTGGGGGGTTTTGGGGTCGGATATTATAATCTTTCGTCAGAGTAATTGAAGATGACGGATCCAATATGGCAGACGAGTTTTGTTATTAGGATCCGATTCTATTTAAAATTGGTATCTGAGGTTTTTCGGGGTCAAAGATTATGTTTTTTTTTTTTTAGAGGTATGACGAATTGATATTTATCATACAGAGCGTGGAAATAAAAGTCTAAATTGGGAATCTATCATTGAACCCCTTGATTAGGTATGAGAGTATTGAAAAGGAATATTCTCAGATATATTTTGAACATGAGAAAAACTGATACATTATTAAGAAATACATTGAGAATTCGCATTCTCTTTCTGATAAAAATAATTATTCTTTCTCGGTATATATGTATACATAGAAAACAACTAGTTTCTTGGTTATATGCCACGACGAACATTGAATTACATCTATTGATCACACACAATAAGAGTTTGAAAACTGATTTCTTCTGAAGATTGTGGCTCTTTCGTCAATATTAGTGAATTATGGCGAACTAGTTTCGTAATTATGATCCGATTCTATTCAAAATTGGTATCTGGTGGTTTTCGGGTTCGGAAATTATGAATTTTTCATCAAAATGGAGAAATTCAAGATGGCATATTCAATATGGCGGACGAGTTTTGTAATTATAATCCGATTCTATTCAAAACTTTTATATGGGGGTTTTCTTCCGTCAAATTTAGGTACTTACAAAAAATATATAAAAAACCAAAAAAAAACACGCTCTTGTATTAGCCGAACTAAAAAATATAAAATGAATTGTAGTTTGAAAAACTATAGAAACACACTTTTATAGATAGCTAATCTAAAAAGAGATAGAAAATAAAATAATAAAAGTTTGTTGATGAATTCTGATTACGGAGGTACTAATAGTTTGTATGTTGTGTATTTATCAACACACTTTTATTATTTTATTTTTAAAACTACTATTTGTTTTTTGTTGTCATAGGCATCGATGATTTATGATATATAATAAATTATCCAAGACCGAGTGATTACGATATACACACTGCGCATGCTCGTCAGCCAACTTTTCCAACCTTATCACGTGGTATGCGCGAGTTCAATCAAGAGTTCAATTTAGCGTATAACCTAGTCCTTCCGTTTGTTATTTATTGGTCAGTGTACCTACCTCATAAAAATCACTAAAAGTCAAACCATAAGTGTTGTATATACTTGGACTTATCAACGTCTTTACAGACGTGTTGTCGCCCAGGTTCTCTAAATCTGCTTTGCATCCTGATGGGGGCACAATGGGGTGAGATAAATCATTTCGTATTGATGGAATTCCTGCTGGTAGCATAGCTAAAAATGAATTATCATTATTCGAAAATATATAAATCTTAAGCCATATAATAACGATTCAGATATTGGAAAGTATAATTAATACAAATTGCTTTCAATTATGGAATTATTAACCTGAGTTATCAATAATCAAGTAATCACAACTTGCAGCTTGAGAAGTGGTCACATAGTAGAGGTTATTTTTTGGTATATCTAGAAACCAAACAATGAATTAGCAGATAGGTTCCTGTCAAAAAAATGCCAATGCAACCTTTAACTGGCATCAGATATAGTTGTTTTCCATTGACATTTATGAGTTCTATGAATTTCTCATAGTGTATATTTTCATCGACAATTATCTGAAGGAAGTTCAGCAGTGATTCAATATCTTCTTTAGCAAAATCCAAATGATGACAAGAGCAAAGTTCATAAAATATATTTTTCGCTAAGTATCCAGATTTCTCCTAAAACATTTTGATTAACTTACTACATATTGTGGTGTTATATGACTATTTTATATAGTGATATCGATAGTAAATGGGCGTGTACACCTTAGTAGAACTTTTAACTCAAACCATGTTTATAATGATCCTTTTATACATAAATAATGATTGACGACATAATTCGATCGAAAAATTAACTGGAATATTTTATTTTTGGACATAAATAATAGTACCTTCTGAAAACGGACCCTCTTATGACGTAGAAACTTCATCTCGTCATAGTTAAAAGAAAATACCAAACGCCCGACGGAGACTGAGGCAACTGATATATTGATTCTTTCAACTGTGATCTCGCGCTAATTCACTCTGTCAGAAATCATGTATCATTCATCTCTGTCTGGAATAGTCTTGTTTCAGTATTAGGGTTCTGACGTCACATCATCGCCTCGTTTTTAGAGGTACGAAAAATCTGGGATTTCAATAATTTTTTATAAAACGTAGGGAGCTCACAGCAAGAAACGGTTTGCGGTGGTGAGCTAGTTTGGGTGAGTTCTATCGAATTATGAATTAAAAATATTTTTTTGTGATATAAGCCCATTCTGAGTGTTAAAAAAATGTATGAAATCGTTTATAAATTTTGGTACGTCTTTATAGCTTTTTATGATACAAATGTCGAGAGTGTGGTCTTTCAATTTTTGGGTGGGGAAAAATGCGGAAATGGATGTCAGTGAATGGAGCAAAACAATATCTATATTAAATTTGAAAATTAATTGGAACTAATTATAACAAATATTACTTCATAGAGAATGACAATTGGTATATCTTGGTACTGGTAAAATTGGGGGAATTTGCACGTCAGCAACTAGTTCTTCATGGGACCTTTTTGCAAGCCCCAATGTGTGTAATGAGCGATGACCAAAGTTAGAAACGTGATTATGGAGAAAAATAGTTATTTATTATACAAGGGAAAAAAGTAGTAGATTTTAGCTCCAGGTTGTGTTGTCTCCCGACGCGTAGCGGAGGGAGACAACAAACCGTGAGCTAAAATCTAATATTTTTCCCGTGTATAATACACTATTTTTTTCTGTGACAGAAGGAAGGACGAATCAATATCGAGAAGATATTACATTATTTTGATATCTGAAAATTATCGACGTGAAATTTTAAGTTTTTAACAGTAGGGACACCGCGTTGTAGGCATCTTTATCATTCATTTGAAGTAATCAAATATCTGATGTCACTTCTGTCAGTCTAATTCTGTGATTTTATTTCAAGAAATTGCGAATTCAGTGGTTATTTAGCAATACCCGTAACCGCGAAGTCGAATGGAAGATAAAAGGACTTGCAGTTCTTTCTCGGAGACGGTATTATTGACTCATTTTTCGGAACTATAGCACAACAAAAGCCATCAACAGTGTATATATATTTGATATATATCCGGGAAAGAAGTACTCACTTTTTTCCCACGGGAAAAAAGTAATTTATGAAAAGTGACATTTTATAACCTGCCAACAGGGATGAAATGAAAAACTTTCTTCCCGTCACAGAAAAAAGAATATTCTGTGCCTTCCAGTTTTTTTTAATGACTATTTCATGGATATCAATTCATATTTGTTTCGGATATTTTATGGTCATCCGTTGAAGATCTTGTAACGGATATCAGTTGCAAAAATGTGCATGATTGAATATCTCATGGATGTCAATGTTCAAGAAGATATATCTTTTGTACAACACATATGGAATAAAAAGCATGGATGTTGACAATTCGGATCGATATAATGTATACTTGCTTCGGTAATTTTATGGCTATATTAGTAGGATATTTTCTAGCGGAAATCTATTTCGAATCCATCGATTAATATCTCATGGATATGTATCTCAAGTCCAGGGAAAATAGTCAAGATACAAGTAATTTTCAGGAGAGCAATTTTTTTATGCGAAAATTTCAACGAAACAAAAATTATGATTTTGAACAGTGATTTTGATATTTATGTGAATTCATGTTTATTTTGGGTATCTTATTGCTACCCCGAGCTATAGGACGTTCGTGCCACCCCCACGAAAGAGACAAAATTACATTAAAATTTGATATTGTCATTGAAAAATACCCTTAGATACAAAATTTCATTCCAATATCACAAAAACAAAAATAAGAATTCAACTTTGACACTCTGTGTCTCAGAAACGAATAACTTCCGGACATATATTTATACGAACTTTTCTTCTTATTTCGACGTCAGCAACATGCTCCTGAATTTTCTACACGTACTTAATAAACACCCTATATAATCAAAGTGTGAAGTGGACACCCGAGTGTCTTAAATAAACCTCCACTATTTTCCTAAGTAATATTGAATGTATGTTCTTATTTTCAATCCAATCGCAAATAAATTAGTATCGTTAGATTCGTCAAAAAATGTTTTTTTCGGAAAGTGCTTGTCAAAAAATGGTTGCAAATCTATCATCATACTGGTCACTAAAACCTTGTGATCATAATCCATTTGTGATTATCACCTGAAATCCCTAGATAAGTTTTTTCTCAGAAATTCAAAAATGTTATAATATACAGGGTGCTCCATGTAAAAAAATCGAATCCGGAGCCATTTCCGGTGAAACCGGAAGTGAAAATAAGCGAAAACTTTCCTCTTCACATACCATATACCCAAATCAAATTTCATTTTGATACACCGAGTATTCTAGAAGTTATGAATTGTCTAATAGATTTGTTGACACCCGGTATAAGAGGGAAAATTAAAAGACAATGGATTTTTCATAGCTAATTAAGAATATCTCCAATACATAATTGAGAATTTATGAATTATTAAGTACATAATATTTCTTAAGTTCCCATTCGTACTTCAACATATGGCAACTGTACTATGGTCTGCCCCTACTTACGAAATTGTGACGTTAGTTTTTAATCGCGGTAAATTTCTAGCCGTTTGAAAATTACTGTGGCATTATTGATGTTTAGGACCTTAAAATCGACCGAAAAAATCTAAAAAAATATGGGATTGAAAGGTAATTGAGTAATGATTCTAATTAAAAAAAAAATAGTCCAATAGATCCAATAAAACTAGAATGTTTTTCTGTTATGTGACAATCTATTTCTGATGGCAAAATGTTAATGCCTTTTGTATGAACCAATCAAATTGTTTACAACCTGGTAATAATTGGTGTTCACCAATTCAAGCCCCACTGTAGCTCAACACATTGAATAGGTTGGCGATTTAAGGTAAGAGTAAAAAAAACAATAATCACCTTGTCCCAATACAAACATTTTCTGTAAAAATCTCGAAAATTGAAACCGTGCCTTTTCTTAACAGCCATTCTTATTCTCAGTTGGTTCAGAGAAGCTAACCATTTGTGAAAATCTCTCTTGAATATACATGGTTCACAACTGGAGTCCTTCAATAAATCTTCCACGCCATAAAAAGCTCTGTCACTCCTATCTCCAAAAGTGTGACCTTCTGGGACACAATCAATATTGCGATTCCTTAGAAAAACCATTGAGTACATGATATATAAAAGAAACAAATATTTTTCATGGAATTTCGTAGTCGAATAGTTTTGAAACTTCAATACATATTCGTATAGATGATAAAACCAAAAGTTCTGATGAATCGGATGTTAGCGCTAAAGTCACTGGAATCCTTCATTTGGAAAAGAGACTACAGGTACTGGTTGTTCAATACAAATGGGAACATACCGTTAGGCCCAGATTTTGATTCAACCACATTTTCCTTCGCCTACATTTCGATTCACTCACCTCTCTTGAGCCCCACATTTTGATTTATTCACAGTTTTCGAACACACAAGAACGATGCCGAAAAATATGATTTCTTGGAAGAAGGTTCATTTAGGCCAGATTGTTTAGAAGAAGTTAGTCTTATTTATGCAGGAAGAATATTTTTCTCACTTATATTACGTCTTCGAAAATCAGAGAGCCATAAAGTGGAATGATATTGCTAAACACCAGCCATTGTGGCCTATAGACACACTGTGTTACCCCTACATTTGGCAACAGTGCATCTTTCGGGTATGTTCGAAGGCTACGAGTTTATCGAAATGTGGGCTCAACACCGCGCAGCCATACAGATTTGACATAGCGTTCCAAGTTTTTTGCGTTGTATCACATGCAATGAATTCTTGTAATAAGGTTACTGCTTACAGGGCCCATCGAAAACTTGACCTGAGGGTTTTGGGTACTAATATCGTAGATCTGAAAAAACGCTCGGACAGGACGATTTTAGTTTCGAGGGGGACATTCTGCCCCCTTACATGCAGCACCGTCACGTCAACCTTTGAGCAGGGGAGTGAACAACCCTTGAAATTTGAAAAGGGAATAGGAGTCGAGTGGCACATCGTTTGAAAGCCCGTTGAATTCTCGAAACAACGGTCATCAGTTTTTCAACCGGAATGAGCCATAATTAAGTTAAGAGTAAAATTCACTTACATGTTTCTCATCTTAACAAATGCTCGAAATGCGCACCTCCAACTTCCATGCAATGATACAGATTTTGTTGAAAACGTTCTCGAACATTTTGGAGCATGTTTAGGGTGATTTGGCGACATTCTTCTGTGATTCGTTGCCGTAAATCTGCTAGTGATGCTGGTGGTGAACTATAAATTCTGCTTTTTAAATGACCCCACAGAAAGAAATCTAAGGGAGACAGGTCTGGTGGTCTTGGAGGACATACTATAGAACCTCGCCTACCAATCCAATGACCAGGGAAGTGTTCTATGAATCTAAATATTGTCGAACAGGCATATCATAATGCGGAGGAGCACCATCTTGTTGAAAGTTGAAATATTAAGTGATCTTCCAGATATTGATGGTCATTTTCAATAATATTCGTTAACATTGGATCAATTGTGTCTTCAAGCTGTTCCACATACATTTCCCCTTCTATTGCCTTCTAAGAAGAAAGGACCCACGATACGATCCCCAATACATACCAGCTCATACGTTTAATTTTTAGGGATTTTGCGTATGTACCTCATATGGGGATTTTATAGAATCAGCCCAATATCGACAATTATGGCGATTAATCATGCCATTAAAAAAAACGAATATTCATCACTGAAACAAATGTTGAACAGACACGTACTGAGGATTTGCAATCGCCTGCTCACTTAGTACTTCACAGAATTGTAAACGCCGATCAAAATCATCTTCATTCAGTTCTTGGTGTTAATTTAATTTTGTAAGGATGTAATTTATGTAGTTTTAAAATACGCTGAATGCTAGTTCTTAAGATACCGGAAACAGTTGCTAGTTGTCTTGTACTCAACGTATGGTCAACCTCAACATGGCCCACAATTGCCACTGTTGTCGCCTCATTTCTTACTGGCGGTTCGATTTGACATTTTTTATTTGCTACAGATTCCGTTTCTCGGAATTTTGATACTAATTCAGACACATACTGCCGCACATCTATTGTTTACATAATACAGTTCAATCGACTCAACCCTCTCTGCCACTGTATACACCATTGTTTCGTTTTGATTTAGACGTACGATACCACACACGAATGAAACACTTTTTAGTACACACGTGGAAAACAGAAACTGCATGCTCTATCTGTTTGTTTTCTTATATAACAATATTTTCATGGGTACCGCGAAAAAAACTGAGCAAATATACTTTCACAGTATCGTTGCAAATAAATGATAGATTGCAAAAACTTGCAAATGAGTGTTTCAGAGACGTACAAGTAAGCTCTTAACTATCGTACAGGTTTATTCCTGAATTTATTTTTTCCCAAACGGTTCATCCCAACTTCAAAATTGGGACGCCGTTGGATAGAGAACTTAACGGACTTTCAAAAGATGTGCCACTCCACCATTATTCCCTATTCAAATTTAAGGGGTTGTTCACCCCACAGCTCGACTGTTGCAGCGACGGTAGTGCATGTAGAAAGAGAAAAAAATGTCCCCCTCGAAACTAAAATCGACCTGTCCGAGGGTTTTTCTACATCTGCGATATTATCACACAAAACCCCGATGTCAAGTTTTCGATAGACCACCCTGTATAATAATGTTCATCACATATCATATCATACAATATCGTTGCAACAAACATAGAGTTTGTGACTCCCTAAAATCCAAGTTAATTGCAAAAATATGATTGAATTTGAACCAAAGTATGCTCAACTGGTTTTGTTATGATTAATTTATGAAAGTATTCAGGGTGAATATAAAAAAATAACAAATTGGGAAGTTATTAACGAAAAAAATTTAATGACTAAAATATGTCTTAGGAGGCAATGTTTTGGTATCTAGGCATAACTTCCAATTGTAAATAACTTTTCTCAATATCATTTTGCTGAATTTTCTGAAATGAGGGTACTTCACTTTTGAGCAATTTTCATATTTTTTGACCTATGCTGTTTGACTTGCAACTATTCTAAGTGCACCTGAAATGATCACCAAACATGCACCAACTTCCGGCACAATCTGTATTTTGGTTGTGCAATTCATTAAAATGATTCCCATATGTTGCACACTGTATATTCAGTTTTATTGGTATTAATTGATAAAATGTTTGAATAAAGCCATTTTTCCAATTTTTTCAAATCTTCGTTAATACTATTTTCTAGAATGATGGGGTTTTTGTTTTCGTATAAATGTACAGTATCATCTGCATATATAGTATAATTACTATATATCACCGACTTTATGTTAATAATCATTTATGAAATTACTAAGTATCTTCGAATCAAAATAAGAATTTCTCACGGTGCTAAAGGTTTTCCAATTCCATGTTGCACCCTTCCCAAATAGTCAGCCTGGATTTTATTAGCATGTACAACTGGTTCAGTTATGTGCCAATTACAAGCACATCTCGCCCCAATTCCTCTGTAATCGTATTTGGTTTTTATACCAAAAGTGCCCTCTGAATTGAAAGGGGGAGACAAATATCTGAAAATAAAAATGTCCAAATTCGGAATTCGAAACCTGGACATAAATAAACTTACCCTCTTTTGATCTGTTCTGATGGATTATAGTCATTGTGTGTTCTTTGGTACATTTCATGCCCTATCTGGCTATCATATAATACTTCATACGGCGACTTTGGCGGATTCACCAGTTCTTTCATTGGTATTCCTGGGTGAATGAAGAAAAATAAAGATAAGTATCTCAGTAAGTACACGGACATTCGATAGATATCCACTGAATATCTATTTTGGATATATGGAATATCCAATTGATATCCGATGTATATTTTATGGCCATCCAATGAATGTTTCCTTCAAATATTTTATGACTATCCGTAGGATATTTTCTGAAGGATATCTGTCTCGAATGAATCGATGAAAATTTCATGGATCTCTATTACTCTAAAGAGAAAAACGAGATTTTGATATTTGTATGAATTTATGTTTGTTTTGGATATCTTATGGTTATCCCAAGAGCTATCCATAAAATATCTCCTGAAGGATATCCGTTTTGAACCCATATCAAATGAATATCTCATGGATGTCCATCTGAAGCCCAGGAATGAAATAAATAATCGAATATCCTTTGAAATAGCATATTTTTGTACGAAAACGTTGGAGAACAAATGAATAATTTCAAACAGTGGTTTTGTTATTTATATGAATTTATATTCCCTTTAGATATTTCTTGTGGCTATCCATCAAATCTCTACCAAAGGATATCCATTAGAGAGCCTCGATGGACATCTTATATATATGTCTATTTCAAATCCAGGGAAAACTATAAAATATCCTCTGAAGGATATTCGGTTTGAACCCATCAATGAATATCTCATGGATGTCGACCATAAGAGCATATTTTTCTACGAAAACATATGATAACACATGAATAATTTCAAACAGTGATTTTGTTATGTATATGAATTTGTATTCCCTTTGGATATCTTGTGGCTATCCATCAAATATCTTCAGTAGGATATCAATTACAGCCCCTCGATGGACATCTTATATTCCTATGTCCATTTCAAATCCAGGGATATCCCGACCATAATTGAACATGAAAAGGATATCCATAGGATATCATATGTTATGTGGAATAGGTTCAGTATTTATAGGTTATATTTATCATTCTGCTATCTGCTAGGTAAAGCAATTATTTACTCCTTAGATAAAAGCTTAGTCTACCCTTTTCTGATTGTTTTCCAAAAGTTACTTCTATAGGATCCATTCCTTTAGGTAACCCGGGCACTTGATCTCTGCCCTTGCCAATAGGTTTATTCCAGTAAGAGTCATATGTAGTATTTTTCAGATCTTCTATTAGTGATTGAAATCTAGTATTCACTGTAGGATTCAACAGTGGTTTTATCTGGAAATGAAGTTCAATCATAAGTTAAATTATTCGAGAATCTTCAGAAGACAGGTTCATGTATCAACACTTTTTTATATCCAGGAATTTGGCTTGGATAAAACGCTTTTGAATAAAATTCAATACCTACTTCAGTGTTCGTACCCCGAAAACAAGCATTCTGAATTGGTGGTAATTCAAGTGGTGGCTTGAAAACATCTTCATGCCAGATTTTTGCATCATGTTTAATTGCACTTATTTTATCTTCCAAAGAATATTGGTGAAGAGTTGAATCTACTGTTTCATTACATCTGTTCGATTTTCCCGCCTAATTGAAATTTAATAAACATTATAATAGTATATTAATACTCACAAGTAACGTTTTATAGCATTACCGCACAAATAATCGGTGATCTATCTATAAATTTTCCCTGGTTCCCAGCCATTTTATTACTATTTTTTCAAGCCTATTCGAGTGACTGAATTTCTCCTAAAAGTCAAAATAAAATTGACATATTTTGGTATCGAACCATCAAACCATCTCAATCGAATCTACGAACGCATCGAATATACATGGTATTGTAAAAATATTTCCCTGAGAGGGGCTGAGACATCATCAAGTAGATAGCAAGTCTACAGCGATCTCCCTCTACCACGCATTCAACATTGTTCTCAAAACACTCAATATGTGTCGTGGCGACAGAATATGAAACCGCATTGTCTGCTAAATATGGAGACAACTCACTAGCAAGCGGCATATCTAGGACCATATAGCAGTTCAGCGACAGGATATTGCGGATCAGATAGTGGCTCAGCGAGAATCTCAAAACAGATTTTGGCTAAGCAAGATCAGATCGCCTGTCAGATATCAGATCTAAGAAGATATGTATTTGGCTCAGATTCACGCCCAGCAAAATCTAATCGCTGCTCAGCAAAATCAAATTGTGGCTCAGCAAGATCGAATCACGGCTCAGGAAGAACAGCTTGCGGCTCAACAGGACAAGATAACTGCTCGGATTACTGCCCAATTCTTTACCCAGATAGAAGAACTAAAGAAAGCAATGAAAAACCTGCAGCATGAGATAAGTGAACTGAAGCAATCTCGGGAGAAAGCTGTACTGAGGAGTCGGGAAATGGTAAACAATTCGTGATGAATGCGGACCCTGTGATTACTACCAATTTAGTAGAGCCGCCTACGTTTGATGGGAAAACATCATAGTCGAACGATGTGAAGCACCTTCCAAAGCCAATGAATGGTCATCGAAGGACAATGTGGTGTCACTTACATCAGTAGCTCTACGAGGTGATGCACTGAACATTCTAGAAACCATTCCGGAGGATAAAGCCGATAGCTACGTTTATCTCATGCGGTATGCTCAAGAACATCTACAGCAAGTGTTCCGATCACAGCTAAATGAAGAACCGTCGACAGGAAGATAACGAGAGCCTGCAGGAATTCGAAATGGAAGTAGCTCGGTTGGTTAATTGTGCATGCTCATTATCTCCTGAGGATCTGATAGAATGTCTCGCTATCCAAACGTTCGTGGATGGATTGCGAGATATGGAAATGCGGAAAGTTATTCGGTTGACTCAACTTAAAGACTCCTCCAGACAGAAGCTACATGAGAAGCAACAAAATTCTGAACCATGGATGACAACGAGAATAAAGCTGAGAACCATATTCAAGGTTCTACTGAAGTCTTAAAAACGCCATCAAGGGCCTCTGGAATGAGAAGAAGAGACCGGTACACACTGCCCCAGGAAAACATGAGCGAGTCGGTTTGAAAAGGGCAAGCCATAAGGATGCAGAAGTATTATCTAGAAGGCCCCGTTTACCTAGATACCTACTCGCATTTTAGCCGCTTGGAGGATAAGATATTCAGTTCCCGTTGCATTTTCGCGTCTTAACGGTAATAGGGGAGTATGATAATGACGTCATCAGTGACGTCACAATTTATAAAACTCTGAACATGAGGTATTTTTTCGCGAGTTCCCGTTGATCAGCCACCGGTAATAGAGCGGTTATACCCCCACCAAAAAATAAACCGAAGGCCGTTCATCTTTTGATTTCTCACGAAATTGAACCGGTTAACCGATCAGATTTCTGTCAGCTGGGATTTTAATTTACGATCATAATATATGAACATAATAAATGGACAGTTGCATTTTGGTTGCATGATCGTTGGCTCCAGCCGGTCCGGTGGCTCAACAAAAATCATCTTAAAATGTTCTCAACAGTACTGTCAATGATTCATAATTTTTTTGATTCAACTTCGATTGTACCTGTTTCATCCCATTCAACTTTTCGAAGTACAACTATAAAGCCACGATTTTCAGAAAGTTATTTTCATCCTAGAGTGAATCATATGGATTGAATAAATAAATATAATGATGTGGTATTTTTTCAGCTATTTCGAATATAAAGAAAAAAAATTTCAACGTTATTGACTGTTCAAGTTGGTGTTCTTGTTGGTTTTCTTCCATTTCTTGATTTGAAAAATGAGTAGTAGGTATCTCAAAAATAGTTTGAATAATTATAAATATGTTTACTTCTAATAATAACATAATACTTTGAAAATAATGATACAAGAACAAGACGCTGCAGCGGCTACGTAAGCAGTTCTGCTGGCTGAACTGCTTCGCTGACAATTGACCGCATCGTAAGCCAAAGGCAGGGGTCAAACACCCATAAGCAATGCGCACGGTAAAGACTATAGAAAACTATATGAAGGAAGGACCTCCTATTAATACAGACATTGCTGTCTATACGGGCGGCTCCAAAACTGAGGAACGATCAGGAGCTGGTATTTATGGGGCCAAGCCAAAGACAAGAATCTCACTGAGCTTAGGTAAATACGCATGTTTCAGGCAGAAGTTATTGCAATACATCATTACGTGAAAGTATTGATAAGGCAAAAGTTTAAAGGCAAAACCACAGTAAGCTCTCTACTGTGGCAAAACCATTGCAATCTATTCAGATAGCCAGGCGACCATCAAAGCAGTCAAATCTATGCAAGCTAACTCAAAACTAGTGTGGGACTGCATAGAAACCCTAAATGAACTGGGCAGTCAGAACAGACTGACTCTAGCATGGGTACCAGCCATGGACGTATTATTATACGTCCATGGTACCAGCACATACAGGGTACGAGGGCAATGAAGAGGCAGACTCACTTGCCCGAGCAGGAGCAAACAAAGCTCTGAATGACCCAGAACCCTTCTGTGGTATTGCGAAAGCTATACAAAAGACTAGTATCAAATCATGGATGCAAACCAAATCTCAAGAATGGTGGAACAACTCGCCAGGTATGAGACAGACAAAAGAGAGTTTATCAAAAAACCATCGCCAACATTCACAGAATATCTACTGAGCCAGAACTAGAATACTAGTGGGACTTCTCACAGGGCATTGTAGGCTCAACAAACATATGAGTACGATAGGTCTGACTGAATAAGAACTGCTGTGCAGGTTCTGTCAGGAAGAAGAGGAAACAGCAGTACACATACTTTGCCACTGTGAGGGCTTGTCAAGAGTAAGGTTCCTTACGCTGGGTGAGGAAAAACCAGAAGCCCAAAGATACACAGGGGATCTGAAAGCTAGCCTATGGAGTCTCATAGAGAAGGCGGGGCTAGCCGAAGAACTCTAATCGATTTTGAGGGCAGACACAATAGACCTGAAAAGGTCGCGATGTGGAGGCAGATAGCCCGAAGGCCTCATTCTGAATCTAATCTAAATCTAAGCCAAGGGCCCCCATGAGACAGTACAATGTTGGAAGTCCTATTGAATGAATAGCCATGGATATTGCAGGGTCATTCCCAGTGACCAATGATGGAAATAAATACATTCTTGTCTGCCTGGATTACTTCACCAAGTTGGTGGAAGCATATGCAATCTCTAACCAAGAGTCAGTAACTGTCGCTGATGTCCCATACTGAATTAACTCATCAGTAGTTTTGGAGTACTACTGGAAATTAACTCTAATCAAGGCCAGAACTTGAGAGTGAAGTGTTCCAAAAGGTGAGTGAGAAGCTAGGAATTAGGAAGTCAAGGACAACTACATTGCATCCGCGCAGTCAGATGGCATGGTGGAGCGCATGCACCGAACCATAGGAAGGTATCTCTGCAAAGTCGTGGATCAACACCAACAAGACTAGTCCCTCTCTTCTCGATGGCCTACAGATTTGCACTACAGAAGTATATCGGACAGACTCCAGCGAAGGAGCTATTTGGACGAGACACGAGGCTCCCATGTGACTTGGTGTTCTCATGCACACCTGGTGATGACGTAGTGGGAGAAGATTACATCACAAATCTGATGAAGAAGATAAACGATATTCACGAATTGGTTCGTTACAATCTGAAAATCTCCAGTGATCACAGGAAGGACCGATACAACATCAGAGCTGAAGGAGGGGAGGCTACGCAGAAGGAGACCTGGTGTGATTGTACAATCCACAAAAGAAACGATGTATTCGTCCGAAACTTCAGAGATCTTGGGAATAACTTTATACCGTCAAGAAGATCAACGATGTCATCTACTGTATCAGTAAAGTACCCAGTTGCAAACCAAGAGTCGTTCATTTTAACAGACTATGGCACCATTCGAGTGGACTCAAGATCAACTAATACAACAATTTCGTCCAGAAGAAGAGGAGATTTCATTCGACGAATTCATTGGGACATATAGTGGATCATCAAGAGCAAGGTATTTCTGTAGAGTAGGTACCCACTAGCTCACTACGTCGCCCAGAATCTTCAGATGTCTCAAGGAATAGCCAAGATGTTCATGAAGAAATTCGGCGGGTTGGAGGAACATCAAACTGGATAGCCAGAAACAGACCAAATACCTTTGTTGTCTCTACTTATCACCAAATGATCCATCCTATGAAGAGCTCTTCGAATTCTTGTCTCTGAAGCTTGACCAAATTCAACAGAACCATCCAGCAGCAGAAATGATCATCATGGGCGATTTCAATGTACACAACACTGCTTGGCTCGTACACTCTAACAGAACGGATGAAGCTGGGCGACAAGCCGAAGCTTTCGCCATCACTCATACGGCTTAGAGCAGCTTATCAAAGAACCCACACGAATTCCCGATGCCAATAACCATTCAGCTAACATATTTGACTTATTCCTCACTAATAATATTCAGCACCCTACACCATAGATGTACGAGCTCCACTCAGCAATTCTGACCACACACTTATCCCCACAACCTGCCCATTTTTCATTCCATCAACTGCTCCGGCACCCCCACGTCTTATATGGTATTACAATTCAGGAGATTGGGGCGGTCTGCGCATGTTTTTCTCCGAGTTTCCTTGGCATAGAGTATGCTTTTGACTCTGAGGACCCTTCACAGTGTGCTGCGGAAATATCTGAAATCATCATGATCGGAATGGACACACACATACCTCATTCTTCGAAAAGATCATCACCATCGAAACCCTGGTTAAAAAAATAACTGTTCTAGAACTGTTGCCTTGAAACAA